CGCGGATAGCCTGTACAGATATTGGCTTTAGCCAACCAAAACAGCGCTGCATATCTCGGATGGCAGACCACACATATTTGCCGCTGAAACGTCCCCGCTGCACCACCACCGCTTTTTCCATTAACCAGGTGGTCATTGCCCGCCGTATACCAGCTCGAGCCTGGCCACGAGCCTCCTTGAAAGCCCTGTGATCATTCTGACGGCCAGTTCTGAGCCACAGGTCGTATAGCCGATTACGGGTTGCTAGTAGGGGCTCCAGTGTCGGGGCACTATCACGAAACCAGTCCGGTACACGCCGCTTGTCTCGGCCAACCACCTCCCCAGCCACATCGACGACAGCCGACTTCACAGCACTCTACTTACAGTCCACGGATGAGGCACTATCATAATTATGTATCAGCCAGTAGAGACTCAAGACCAGCACAGTACCCAGCACGCAATGCAGACACACCCTCAGCCTCCTCCTCACTCATAAATGGCAACCGGTTAAACCGATGAACAGCAAATCTCCGAGGCCTGGATGCGAGTCACGGTGATAGCGCTGCTGTGCAATATCAGGCAATCGATACTTCATGCGGATCAAGCGGTGGTCAGTGCTACACTCTGCCGTACGCATCACTTGACAATCCATGCAACGTTTACGATATCGCTGCCGAACAATTACGTAGTCTATGCAGTGCCATCTCTGTGAACCAGGGTGTTGCCAGGTGTACATGTGGATGCGCTTCTTGGGAAACAGTGTGTTACAGACAGTCAGCTGTTGACAGGCCAAGAAAGCAAGAAGGCTATGGCCAGCTTCATTCACTTCACCCACACCATGCGATCCATGTACTCCCTGCCACATCTCCATTTGCTGTGGACCAGAAACTACACGTGCATTAAAGTCACCCAGGACAATGACATCATCCAGAAGATTGATAGCGTCCAGTGCAGCTTCAAGCTGAGCCAAGAACTCGTCCTTGTCGATTTGAGCCGACCTGAATGTTGGAGCGTAACAGGACATCACCGTCATCCAAGAAGGAAAGTTGTCATTGCCGAAATTTAGCCGGGCTGTGACAATGCATGATGAGATAGCTTTCCACTGGCAACCTCCACACTCGAACGCTTGTTTAGCCCTACGTCGTAGGACCAGTGCAACTCCCTCGGAGCGACGAAAATTTTCGGCAGGCACAGGGCGACCAGACGCGAGCACGGTGGCATCACCAACACTAAAGGAATCCCCGCCGAACCACTTCGTTTCCTGCAGTCCAGCCATCTCTATATCAACTCTGGACAGCTCACGGATCACCAAGTCAATCTTCTTGTCCTCCACGACAGATTCGAAATTTGAATTTTGAAAACGTCTTCTTCTTGCCGTCTCGACGGGTCCATCATCATTCACCAAGGTTCGAACGTTCCAAGACCCAAAGGCCAATGACCGCAGCCTGTTTCTCCTCTTCCTCTCTGACAGCACTCTCTGAGCTTTACAGTTGGAAACCATTCGGGGGTCAGCTACACCGCCGCGAATGGTGAGACGAGGACGGCAACAGTCGTGACGGAAAAACACCGCCCTGGCGACCGCGTCGTGAAATCCTCGCCTCAGAACATTCAGGAACACGCCAGGGGCGACTCTGGTAGGTCCAGAGCCACCCCGTGGCCAAGTGGGAGAAGGCTGAACTCGAAAAGGTCAGAGCAAAAAAAGGACAACCGTCCCCTTCAAGCACAAAGGGACACACCCACACACACACACACACACACACACGTAAGCAGCACACACACACACACACACACACACACACACACACACACACACACACACACACACGCACACACCTTGAACCTTGAACGTGCCCATTGCCGATGGCAATGATAGCGAAGGGACTATCCGCTAGCTTTGCAGTACGGAGCGTGGCGCTTGAGGTCCCCGGGACGACGGCAGACCTTTCCACATGCGCAGCGGAAGCCAGAGTCAGGATCAGGAGGAGCACGGGCGGGAGGACGACGATGAGCGATCTGCCTCCAGACAGAGTGATCCTGGGCAGCATCAAACCAGCAGTCAGAAGGCACAGGGGGGCTGATGGAGCGGAGATCATCCACGATGACGTCACGCCACCGCTTGCGTGGACCATGGCGAGGGCGTGTTGCAGGGAGCTCCCCAAACAAAACTCGCTTCGGCATGCGGTCGTCGTTCATCCGGCCAACATGGCCAAGCCAACGCAGTCGATATTCCCGGATGATGTCCGCGACGTCACAGTCAATGCCGAGGGTTCGGGCCATGGTAACCGAGGTGACGCGGTTGTCCCACTGGTCCCGCCTGGATACGCCAACGATGATGCGAACACACTGGTGATGAAAGGTGTTGAGAGAGCGCAGGTCCGGTGCCTTCGGCGTCCACGTCTCTGCTCCGTACAGGAGGGTCGTCAGCACAAGGGCGATGTACACGCGGCGCCGACAGCGGAGAGATAACGACTGATTCTCAAACACTGGGACACGGAGACTGCCGAACACACGCGAAGCCTTGGCGAGACGGGACTGCACATCATGCGAAGACTGACCGTCCCGATGGATGACGCTGCCAAGGTACGTAAAACTGTCAACGGCCTCGATGGTGCTCTCACCAAGAAACACCGGCTCATTCATGGGCGAATTGACAGTCATGCATTTGGTCTTCGATAGACTGACCGTGAGGCCCAACCTTTTTCTTGCCGTGTTCAGTTTTTCAGGTCCTTTATACTATCAGAATTTGACTACGCATCTGCTGCCTATGCCCCTTTCTTATCGTCTTATCAGGATAAGCGCCTAAATAGTTTGTTCAAACGTGCGGCTCGCTCGGTGTGCAGGGCAGCCCCTCGCACTCACACGGCTCCCTTACTTGAACGCATGAATGCCCATACCCTCAGCATATACACCCACATGCACATTCTTGTATTCATTTGGCGCTGCCTGAACAAATCTTCAAGTACTCTGTTTGCAAGCTTTTTCACCCGTAGTCCCTCTCTCCGAACACGAGGAGGGAGCAGCAAGTTACTCATCATTCCTGTCTCCCCCACTGCATCCTCAGCTAAGCGCATTAGCCATGCTGGAGCTATCCTGTGGAACCAGCTCCCAGACACAGCACGCCTCGAAAGAAAGCGCTCCACTTTCAAATCGCTAAGCCTGGCCTTTCTGTTAGGCAGTACCGTCAACTAGGATGAACTCATCTGCTTCACTACCTCTCTCTCTCTCCCTCTCTCTCTCTCTCTCTCTCTCTCTCTCTCTCTCACACTCACTCACTCCTTTCTTCCCGGTTGCCGTGCTTGTGACTTTTTCCCCTGCTGCCGTGCTCATATTGGTTATCTAACTACAGCTGTATCCTCTTCTTGGTTCTGTTTGTCCGCTTATTATTATATATTTTTCTTTTCTCTTATTATCAGTGGGACCATTGTCATTAGGTTTAGGCCTGTTTTGGAACTCCACTTTAAATAAAGCCAAACAACAACAACAACAACAACCGCGCCACACACGAAATGAACAATTCCGTGCACCGATCAAAAATCGGTTTAGTTGTGGCATACACTGCAGCATCGTCCGCAAACTGGGACTCTGTGACGACATCACGTTGCAGGCAGGACTTGGCAGTGCGGTCTCCAACCAACTTTCGGCCAACTCGGTAGTGCAGCTCAACACCAGCGTCCGGGCACATGGAGCGCCAATACCCAAAGACTGCAGAGAAATACAAGTTAAATAAGACGGGTGCCAAAGTACAACCCTGACGCAGACCGTTGTTGACGTTAATGGCAGCAGTGACACCGCCCTCGATGCGGACCTTCACCTCCATCGACTCATGCAAGGACTTGATGATACTGAGTATCCTTGGGGGAACACCAAACTTCTGGAGCAAACACCACAGCGCTGGACGGGGGATCGAGTCGTATGCCTTTCGCAAATCGACAAAGAGAGCATACAACGGCGAGTCATGTTCGTAAGATTTCTCAATTAATTGCCTGGCAACAAAGATCATGTCTGCACACCCTCTGCCCTTGCGAAAACCAGACTGTGACTCGGGAAGCATCTTCTCCGAGATTGTCTGCAGCCAGTTCTGAAGAATCCGCGCAAACAACTACCCAACAACATCCAAAAGGCTGATACCCCTCCAGTTATCACAAACTTTCAAGTTGCCTTTCTTAGGTATTGGAACAACGATGGCATCCCGCCACTCAGCGACAACCGATGCCTCATCCCACACCAAATGCATGAGCCGAACCAGACGATCATGGAGCTCCTCACCACCCGAGATAATCATTTCGGGAAGGATACCTGATTCCCCACCGGACTTTCCAACTTTCATGGAGCGCATCGCCGCAAGCATCTCTGCCTTCGTCGGGGGATCATCCAGCTCGGTCTGCAGTGGCTCATCCGGGATAGCTGTCAAGACAGCTGGATCGTACTGGCTCTCGACATTCAAGACGCTGCCAAAGTGCCTGAAAAACCGATCCCGGATACCATCGGAGTCCGTCAGGAGTACACCATCCTCATGCAGCACTGATGTTTCACGCTTGGGCTGTCGACCTACGTGGAGGGTCTGCAACTTCCGGATGCAACGCCACTGAGATCCACCGCCAATCTCAGACCTCTCCGGCTCCTGCGATACAGACTCAATCCACTTTTCCTTGGTCTCCCAAACAGCCCGCGCCACAGCTCGCTGCTTCTGGCGGAAGCTCCTCATCGCTGATCGCGTGCCCTTCTGCAGTGTTCAGTTGGAGTGGTTGAGGACGGTTGCCTCTTTTGAGGCTCCGTCCTCCAAGTAGTTTTTCGCTATACCTGCAGTTGTTTCCCGTGTGGTGGATACCAGGGAACGACTGCTGTGGTCTCTGCTAATGGTCTTGCAAGCCGTTGCAGTGTAGTGTTGACTGACGCTTGCACAAGAGGACGTCTGCTCGCTCGTTTGAAATTTTTTGAAATTTGTTTGAAATGGTGCGGGCGCGTGTGGACTCGGGTCGACGGAGAGGAGAAGCGAAGGCCTGGAAGTTGAATATCGCGACATGGAATGTCAGGGCGACCCTAAGGTTTCAAGGGCCCGTCCATCGACAGCGCAGGCGGATCCGGTAGTGGACCGAAAATTTGAATTTTTGGTAGCGGAGCTGAAGCGCTTCGAAATAGCAATAGCTGGCGTACAGGAGACGAAATGGTTCGGGGCGGACGTCTGGTCGTCGTCTGGCTTCACTATGTTACACTCGGGCCGTCAGCTGCCTCCTGCTGGTACTCCAGCGTTCCGCAACGAGGGCGTTGGCATCGTCCTCAATCCAGAGATGACTGACGCGTGGCGACGTGGTGGCAAGTCCTGGACGGCAGTAGGCTCAAGAATAGTGGTGGCGCGACTCAAACTGGCGGACGCGGGTGATTGGGTGCCCTCGCAGCGGTGGAGGAGACGGTCGGACTTGTTCCTGTCTGTCATCAATTGTTACGCTCCCACTAGTAAGGCCAGTTTGCCAACGAAAAATAAATTTTACGCGGACATGCAGACTACACTGGACGGAGTACCACGTGATGACATTCAAATTGTTCTGGGGGATTTCAACGCGCGTGTGGGTGTTCAGCCTGCTTCTGGTGATAAGTGGTCTGATGTTCGTGGCAGGTATGGCCTTGGACAGTGTAATGCAGCAGGAGAACGGCTGCTGATGTGGTGTGCTACAAACCAGCTGTCCATTATGAACACGTGGTATTGAAAGCCTCACCATCGGAGTGGTACATGGACTCACCCCGCCACCAGGCTCCCACATCTTATCGACATGGTGCTCATGCGGCAGTCTCAGCATTGGCATTGTCAGGATGTTTCCGTTATGCGCGGTGCCAATTGTTTCACCGATCATTTCATGGTTCGCATCAAGCTTCGTATCAGTGCTGCTCAGCCGCGCCGAGCTCGCCCGCCTACATCTGGAAGACGAAAAGCCGTGGCTGCTGTGGAGGTGTTGACAAGGGACAATCACGCACACGGTCACACTTATCCTAGTGTCGGGTGCGTTAAAACTTAAAAGTAATCATGAAGGCTTCGAATGTCATTGTACTTACGCTGGCATGCCGGTGTGTTCAAAACACCTGTTTTTGTACATGTACTCGCACGTTCAGACTTTCCAAACAGAAAGTAACCCTTCTGACATGTGTAGTGAAAGGAATCACCCTCTTGAGTGACTGATACATTGGCAGTACCAAACTTTATTTGTGGTGTGCTGCAATTGAAGGCTGGGCACACAATATTATAGAGAAGAAGGGGAAAAAACCTGTTCACCCAAGATGATCATGAAGAGGATCTCCACACAATATGGATTATGCTTGTCCTTTAAGAAACAGAGATGAGACAGTATAATATTATTATATCTCATGGAAACTTGAATACAGGTGGACCCCGACAATTTAAACCCTAAAATACCAGGGAAAACGTGTAATCATTCTCAATATTCAACCATGCACCCGCAACACAATGTAATATGTCAAAATGAGAGCATTTTTACGCAGCGTTGCGCTATAGAGCTCGGCACACAGATTTCATACGCACTTCACTGGTCAGTACAATCTGTACATGCATACTGAAATGACTTGTATAGCATACAGTAATATTGAATTATACTTTGCCAACATCCTACTACTTGTATCAGCAAATATTCCACACGTTTTCCATGTAAGCGGATTCGCTGGAACTTCTTATTAACCGGATATGCCAAGCTAGCGTGACGCCCAGACCTCAGGTCGGCAGAGTCATCAATGCCCCACCATCACTGCTGCGTCTCGGTGCAGCGCCTGCTCATTACAGTGCATTTCAAAACTATAGACGCGTAGGGTTTTTGAAATATTTCAAATTGGGCTGGAACTTTTTGAGAATAGTTTTCGGTATATTGCTCAGGATCGCTCCACAATTACTCTCGTATAGTTTCTAAAGGATTGGATTACAGACGCCCAATTTGGAAAAAATTATGCACAAAGTGATCACAGATTTTATGTGGTATAGATGCTGGCATAACGGTTTTTGCCTAGGTACGCGTCTATAGTTTTGAAATGGACTGTAGTTGTCAGTTTGTCCTAGTCTCTGTACCATTGTCTTTCCTTATTCTTTTCGAGCTGGTTATGTGAACATAGTAAAAGAAAAAGAAAAAAAAGATTCGAATTGTCAAAAATAATGTTTAGTGGGAATCGTATAGATAGAAGTCCGTCCTCGAAAAAAACTTCCAATTAAGCGAGATATTCGAATAAAGACATTTTCGAATTATCAGCATTCTGCATGTAAATAAATGCTTCAATCATCCCCGTTTTCAAAATCAACCTCAGCTACAAGTTAGGAAAGCGATGAAAAACAAAAGTCGCGTCACTTGCACTTGTAGTATTTCCAACGGTCATGGCATCACTTTAACTGGGGCGCGCTGGTGCAAGATCGCGACGTCAAGTTTTGTTTTACTTCAAGAAATTTATCCTTCGCTCTCAAGCCACCGTGCAGTGTTTTCCTGCTGAGTGTTCACCAGCGCCTGAGAGATAGGAGTTCTGATTTTCGCTTGCCGCTGGCCAAGGAAACGAGCCCAGAGTTGGTTGGTCTCAGAACTAAAAGAAATTAGCGATCGCTGTGATAGAAGTAACACAGACATCCATCATTGCTTCTTGGCCGGCGACTAAATGTAAAGCCGAACGACAGTACAGTCACAGCAGTGGCCAAGCAAAAAATCAGCTACGGCTTCTCCTTCTCCAAAAAGCGAAAACTACAAACTCGGCGACATGTAGCAGTGTGTTTGAAATAAATAGTCTAGCTCACGCACTCCTCAGTCAAAATCATGCTGCAACTGTGTTCACTGCACGCGGCTGCCACTGGAAACACAAGTTCAGGTGACGCGACCGTTGGTTTGTCACCGCTTGGCCAAGTACTACTCCTTGTCAAGAAGCCGTGACGTCAGACTTCGACGGCCTATTGAAGAATTTTGCGACATTTTTTCATGCCAATCAGATGTGTACTTTTTTCTTTCATTTTTTCATTTACACACCATACTCAGAAGGGGAGCAGACAACAGAAAACAACAGTATTTTCTCTAATAATAGCCCGGGGTTCTTATTTTGTCAGTGACAGCTATACCCGCGCTACTATTAGAGACTGGGCTATAATAATGGGCTCTTATTTTTTTTCAATTGTCAACTATCAAGCCAACTCCAATCTATACAGGCATAAACTGACCAGATCAAGACTGATTTTTCAAGCCTAAACTCAGGAATATTGTCAAAACAGATGTGTCACAATAGCATTGGCGCCAAGAAGGAAGCTGTAGACCGAAAACTTCCTTACAAATATGTTCTTGGCATGTTGTATTGCTGTTTTACATGCAGTCAATATACTTGTTGCATACTCCAATTGGGACCCGCACTACTATTAGAGACTGTGCTATTATTATTTCAAACCACCCTCACCCCGGGTCATTATTGGAGACCTGGGCTTTTATCAGAGAAATTACGGTATACAAGAACAAAACAGCAGGGAGAGTAGGGGTTGCAAAGCAAGCCTTTGCTGGTGAGGCGAGCCCACAAGACTGATCTTGCTCCCATTCAAAATCAGTTCTCTATTCTCTCTTACCTTCACAGCGAGGCACAGATGTGAGTTTACCTCCAAGTGTGCAAGTCGGTCCGGCATCACCCACAAGCCTGAAACCTCTATGGCATGAAAAGGCCACAGCTTCCGTTGCCCTGACCACCCCTGTTCTGTCAGTAGCGCCGTTATCAATGGTGGGCACACTACAATCCTCAGCTGCACACAGAATGATAACGAAGACAATCACAACATGTAACACGAAATATGTCATTTTATGCAATGGCTGTCTATACAAGTCTATTTACATTGTCTAGATCCCACCATGTGGACAACGGATTCTTTCGTTTTACCTACCGCCAGCAGTTCTCCCCTCTCTGTCTGTCTGTCTGTGGTGTGTCCGTTTGTCTGCCTGTGTGTTCGTCTGTCGCCTGTGTGTCCATCTGTATGACAGAGTGTGTTCGTGTCTGTCTGTCTGTCTGTCTGTCTGTCTGTCAGCCAGTCAGTCAATCTGTCTGTGACAGGGAGAAAGGTGGCATGGGTGTGTTTGCTAGCTCTGGCATGCAGTAGAAGTTGTTAGGTGATTCTGCTGCTGCTGTGTGATAGTGTATAGCCAGGCTCCTCTAAGGGGTCGTCGCAAAAGTTTTCTGTCGTCCCTGAAACGAACATCGTTCATTTCGTACTTGGACCCCTCCCCCCCCCTCTGAAACGAACACAGCTTGCTATGCTGGACGACGAAAATCACATTCATGTACATGTCACATGTACAGTGTCGGTCAACTTGCGATTTTGGCTCGCACCCCCTCCCCCCCCCCCAAATGAATCATGTTCGTTTCAGGGACGACAAAAAACTTTTGCGACGACCCCTAAGTTCATCATCTAGCTATAGACCTTATTCGATAATGTGATTTTTGGACTCGCCTCCAGGGATTTGTCGTAAGCTGGGGCACGCGTGCATGAAACGAGTGGCAAGAAAGGCTCAGTTCGTACAAGGGAGTAGTAAAATACCGGTATTTATTTACTCCTATGTTCCCACGCCGAGTCCACTGCGCACTGAGTGCAGGTCTCTTGCCACTCCCTGGTTCCCGGGACCCCGGTTCACGTGATTGTGACGTTTATCGAATAAGGTCTATAGACAAGGTGGTGGAGCTCAAATATCGACGGTATACCGTCGATGAACTGAAATGTCTGTCACTCACTCGAAATTTGACGGATTTCCACGATCGAACTAGCTGGGAAAAAGGCAAAGAGCTCCGCTTCCAATGCAACTGAAAGGCTACAATGTTGTGTTGGAGAGATAACACGCTCGACATTTCAATTACAGGAAAACTTGAACTTTTTTTCCCAGTGGTGATCTGTGTGTGTTGGAGTTTGTTTGTTTGTTTTATTTATTTGAATTCCCAGGACCAAACGAAAGGAGATGCTAATTTTTGGCTCGCATGAGCAGCGCTAAAACCGAGGCTCCTGTTCGATTTCGCTGCTCTTGCCCCGCCTCCCCTACTTTGTCTGCCATCACTATGTGCATCTATGTCTGTGTGTGCATCTCTGTGACTTGAAAGTCTACGTTTATTACATAAACTTGAGCCTCCCAAGTTGGGTGGTCTGTTGCTTTGCATTGGCGAGTTGTAATAAGGCCAGTGTGTCCAATGGTCTTACTAGTTTCGTCATCATCCATTAACTTTCGGCATTCTTTGTTGCCGTGATGCGTACCTCGTGCTCTTCTTCGTTGCGCTTTCCTTTCCCTCTTGGACCTTTCCGAACCTGAGCCTTCCAAGTTGGAAGGTTGTTGGTTTGCACCCTGGAGAAGTGCTGGAGCTAGGTGTCAGGTTGCCGAAAGTCTCAGGACTCTTTGTCAGTTTTGTGCCAATTTGTCGCACTCGCTGACTGTATAAGATCTGGTTACGTTCGTGGAGATGTAGTCATAGCTCGCAACATTTTGTCCTTCTTCTTTTCACAATAGTAATTGTGCTAACTATTAAAAAAGATATTGCGGTTCCCGTCAGACTTGGCTGGATGTTGAGTTCTCCACATCTATACCAACACCACCACCACCACCACCGCCACCACCACCCCCCCCCCCCCCACCACCACCACCACAACCACCACCACCACCACCACCCCCACCACCACCACCACCACCACCACCACCACCACCACCACCATCACCACCACCACCCTTCAAGAATCCTAACTAAAACCATGTCATAAACTTGCAACATGTTGAAAACGAATGATTAATCAATGTGACTTACCTATTTCGCACACAACGTAAAACTTGTCAGTGAAGAGCCGCAGCACACCTTCGGTAGTCATAACCTGTCCGTTTAAGTTTGGTCCTATCCACGCTACATACTCCTGAGTGGCCAGTCCAGTTGCGCAACCAGCTTGGAACGATGACTCGGAGAGCACTTTTCCTTTATAAAATGAGCACATGGTGACCGCTGTGTTGTAGTCGACTTTGAGACCAACAATGCTGATTCTTGCAATGCTTTTAGATGCGGTGCAAGGTCTAGCTCCAGTCAGTTCTGAGATTATGCACATAACACCCGCACACAGTGCACAATCAGCACCATGGTGACACACCTTGAAATCAAGTAACCATAGCAACACTGGCTGCACGAAGCATAGAACCTGAATAAGGTCACTGTACATGTGAGTAGGACATTGGACTTGGAGAATTGCAATTTTTGTTAGACGGCTATTCTACTACAAACCACATCCGGAGTTATGGTGTTAAGTGATGTCTGCATTCTTTTTTATTACAGTTAGCTAGAATGTGCCTCTAATGTCCTAATGCTTTGAAATTCTCCTTGAAGTCCAAATTTGAAATTAGAATAATATTTATCTTCTGTTACGAACTTAGAAGTTCGGCAAGAAGCGTGTGTTCCTAGTTGGAACAATCAACTTTATATTCTGTTAGTTAATTTTAAAAGTGAACGCTGAGACAAAAGAGAACAGAATCAACTGGCCAGGCCATTGTTGTAACTATCCTGCGTTTCAAGCACACAGCAAAGCTAAGGCAATCCTTGCACAATACCTAATCTGTACCTGATCTGGCCACACAAACTTATACTCAGGCAAGAAGCATACGATGACATTACAGTTAATGCCGATTCATAATTCATTTCGCGTACGGGAAAGTCATCGCGCGACCGTCTCGCGATGGCTTTCCCGTACGCGAAATGAAATATGAATAAGGCCTTTAGGGCCGCTCTGTGTTTCCCGAAAGTGTTCTCCATGCGCTTGTTTTGGCCAAGTCCTTCAAACTTACCGGACGCGCAAATATCATAATGGACAGTGTCTACGCACTTCACCTCCTTCACTAGTGCAAACCATTGCGTTTCTTACGGGGGGGGGGGGGGGGTGGAGAATTACAAAGAATTATAAAGAATTCATCTTTTCAATCCTATTAAGTTCTGCCTTCGTGTGCCAACATGAGTAGAAACATTGAACTTACCATGATATCGGCACTGTACTGAACCGGCTGTTGATGCTTCTCGCCAAGAGACACAGGCTAGACGAAAAGGGTAAAACAAAACACAGCATTTCGAAGTCAATAATATAATAATTTTCATCCGGCGCATTCGCCAAGAGTGAATTGCAACTAGATAGAGCGGTCGTCAGTTGACAACCCCCCCCCCCCCCTCTCCCACCTTTAAAAAACAAACCAAAAACATATAATCTATGCGGAAATAACACTTTCAGTAATGCTATGAATAAAACAATTTGACCACTCATATATACATATATGTTTTTTTCAACTGATGATCGTCACAAGAAAATGTTCTTGCAAACCTTGAGACCTACCCATCTAACCGTCTATGTTTTGAAGTATGATTGCGCAAATTATTTATTCGTAGCATTAGCAGAGGACATACCCAGTCAGTGTGCTGACAGTGCTCAACACTGCGAAGGCAGAGCGTAATACAGAACAACAAGGAGAATCAAGGCGTGTTTGCTGCTGCTTCAAGTTTCATGCTCTCGCAATCAGCAGGCAAAATGTTTGTTGTTTTGCATGCATAGCATTAAAACAAAACCGATGTTCAGATTTCTGCTGGACTTACGTATCTCACATAAAACCGGGAACTTCTGGTCCAGCGGAACCTCTACCCCGTTGACAATATTAGCTGTGCCTGTATCTGTAGGAGTACCTGACCAGCCTTGTATAGTCGTACTTGACAGGCCCATTGTGCATCCAGCATTGACAGATTTATTGGAAATGATCGATCCTTTATACAGCCGGCATAGTTGATCTGCTGAATGGTAAGCCAATTGAATGGGGTCGTACATTGATATAGAATCCTTAGTCATTGAACCGCAGTAACGGTAATTGGTCGGTGTAAAAGCTGCAAGGCATACACACAAAAACAGTATCATACAGAATCATTATCGCACCGGCACACACACACTCGGGAGAATGAAGTTGAAAACATCACTGCACTTATCAACCATAGGCGCACACACACACACACACACACACACACACACACACACACACACACACACGCACACACACACACACACACACACACACACACACGCACACACACACACACACACACGCACACACACACGCACACACACACGCACACACACACACACACACACACACACACACACACACACACGCACACACACACACACACACACACACACACACACACACGCACACACACACACACACACACACGCACACACACTACTATTTTATTGTTTCATCATAGCCTAGGAGCTGTGGCATCATTTATGATCCAGAGCAAGAAGGCAGCAATGCCTGTACCTATGGTGAAGTAAAATAAAGGTAACAAAACATAACACAAACACATGCTTGTACAAACTTGCTCTTGCTGGCAATCACGCATGGTGACGACAATACTTGAAAGATCATTCGAAAAACTTTTTGCCAATGTCCTTCATCGCTGAGACTCTTATAGTCCATTCATTGGAAACTGGCACCCTAACTTTTTGGTGTCTCTGTCACATAGTTGTAGATAGCGTGAAAACAACAGTACATCCTGCATTGTGTGACCCGTGCACTTATTCCTTGCCACATTTGAGGCCAGAAAAGTCCAAGAACAGGGAAATAGAAATTCAGCCAGGTTTACAAAATTAGGACAGGTATGCCATGGCAAAATGTATGGAGAAGCAGATCCAAAACCCAGATTTTTGAGATTTAAAGTGGGTTTTTGATCCTCAATTCGGCCCAAATCCGACTTTCTAAAGCCAGCGGGCCAGTTTCCGATGAATGGACTGTAGCTTGTGCTTTTCCTGGTTGCACTCTCCTTCGCGTCCTAGATTATTACCATGACTTCGAACGTTCGAAGTTGGAAAGCTGTTGGATTGAACATCGAAGACATGCTTGAGCCGCTTTGCTGTTATTTGTAGTTTTTTTGTTACCATCGGTCAGTTTTCGTGGAATGTTATCACATGAGCTGATTGTGGAGTATCTGGCGGAGCGAGTGGACATAATAGCAACTTATAGTTTAGTGGTCCTTTCCTTTGCTGTAAACTAATCCTTGGCTCTCCATCCGAGTCTTAAACTGGATTGGCATGACAACGCACGGCCAGTTTTCCGTTTTCAGTCCCGCATTTCTTTTCCATTTTGTGCGTTTACACGAACAAATCTGATCCGAGGCCCGAGGCCATGTGGTTGCCGTTTGTATCGTTTTCGCGGGTCTACACGGGATCCCACTTACACGCGTGAGGAGAGGATCCATCAAAGTTCGTCATGTGCCAAGTGTTGTCGTGGAAGCACCAAATCACACTCAAACAATAGCTGAAAACGAGGCACACGGCAGCACTACTCACATTATGAACATTGCAATATTTTTGATTGTCGAATCTCTGTGAACGGGCGGAAATGAAACAAGCATGACGAAGACGAGGTCTAGAACGCCATTTCGACTGTTCACACATCCAAATTTATCCGGCATAATATCACCATTTTCAAAAGTCCTCCACCTTGGCCAAGGTTTAGTTTTCTTCCGCCTTGGTGCACAACCTTTACATTTTGCCCCGTATGCCGTGTAGCATGCATCCGAAAGGATTTGCTTGCATTTTCACCGTCAGCGTTGTCATGACAGCGTGGCTGAACTACAGTACTGTTTGTGGAAAAGATTTTCGCTCTCTATTCTGGGTGCAGGTGCAAACCAATGTTTTTTCGCACTATTCTGAGAAAAAAGTGTACATCCTGCATACTTTTCAAAGAGCAACCTAGTGTAACAATGCTGTCCATTGGCCGAATCGGACAAACAAAAGGTCCACCGGCATTCAAATATATTCAGCTGTGCTCTCCGATCCGAGGTCGGAGAGCGGAGTTATGAGTCACGGAATGAGTTCTTATAGTTGTTGCCTCCTAGTTGTTGCACTTTCTAACTGTATACAGTTTGTAGTTACAATGGTGGACAGTTACTCTCAACTCCTATCCATATGTCCTTTTCCTTTCTACATTCAGCAGTGATAATGAAAGTGATAATGTGATGGCCAGTCGGAGTTGTTATATCAGTACTTACGGTGACATGACGGTGTCGGACTCAAGTTTTTGTAACCATCGCATGTAACGATAGGATTCCCTCGGGTAAAGTAACCACTTTGACATGAATATTTTGCCGCTCCAAGGTATTCCAACACCGAAGCGTTTGAAGTACTAAATAGTACTACTGGTGGTGTGCAGACGAACTCTGGACACGAGGTTGAGAGACAAAGAAAGAAGAGGAAAGATTTGATTTAAAGCTGCGAGGACACAAGAAAACCACTGTGGATAGAAATAAAACCTGACGTCCTTCTCATGTGACAATCATCGTGAATCGTCATCACAACGAGAGCTGGACTACAAAGGAAATATTATAATTAAGGCAGGGTGAAATGAAAGCAATACATAAAGCAGGTTATGCATTCCACACACTCAACATTCACACAGGTTAGGCATCCTACAACGTTTTCATTGCCATTTCTTCAGAAGAATACCTAACTTGTGTGAATGGTGTGGGTATTGAATGAGCAACTGCTTTATTTATTGGGTTGATTTCATTTCTGTCTCCGCGAAAACAGTATACAGTCAGACCTTGCTTAACTGCACACATCTGTTTTCCACAAAAAGTATCCGGATAGGCGAAGGAACCGCATAACCGAACACTGGTTATGTTGGATCCATCACTTATGCTGTAAATCTGTAACCAAATATTTTCTTCCGGATGGCGAGGGATCCGGATAAAAGAGGACTGGGTAAGCGAGGCCTGGCTGTAGTACCGCGGGGCCATGGTACCACTCCTCCCTAGGTACCGTCCCTCCCCAGGGTACCACCCCTCTCCAGGGTACCACCCCCCTCCAGGGTACCACCCCTCTCCAGGGTACCACCCCTCCGCCAGGGGCACTGCCCCTCTGCCAGGGTACCACCCCTCTGCCAAGGTACCAGCCCTCCCCAGGGTACCACCCCTCTCCAGGGTACCACCCCTCCCAGGGTACTACCCCTCCCCGGGTACCACCCCTCTCCAGGGTACCACCCCTCTGCCAGAGGCACTACCCCTCTGCCAGGGTACCACCCCTCTGCCAAGGTACCAGCCCTCCCCAGGCTACCACTCCTCCCTCAGGGTACAACCCCTCCACCAGGGTACCAACGACTATTTTTGTTGCAATTACTCCAGTAAGGGGCCGTCCGTAAATATCGATGTTTTTTTAGAGACGATATTGGTGCGTCTGGGGGGGGGGGGGGAGGGTGTTTGAGCCATGTGCGTCTTTTCGAGCATCAGAAAAATATCGATGTAAATATCTGAAGTTTCGCCGATCCCTGCACGCGGACGTCTAAATGGCTATACAAGAAATGTGAAACCAGCTTCCGTTCGCTGAGCTAAAACTCGCGACACAAGAACAAAATCAAAAATTGGAAGCTGTACGCATATGGCGAATTTCAAGAGCAAACGAATGAGCTATTGATTGTGGAAATCGGCCGAACGATGCCTGCAGGAGACCTTTTTCAAGACGTAGAGGCAGTGCAAACAAACACGGACGAACTCCACAAGAGTTTCCAGTCTTCACTGTCTGAACAAGGATTTGATTCTCGAGGGCGACCAAAAAGTCATAATGCTCTCCTTCTCAATTAGACCATATAAATACTGCATACTTGCCATCTTGGGTTCATATTATTGACAAAAAAAGGAAAAAAATGAGCATCCAAAAATATTGATTCCATGATCTAGATGTACATGTGCGTCTTCTGGGGGGAGGGGGGGGGGGGGTCAAGGGAGAGAAGCACCAATATCGTCTCTAAAAAAACATCGATATTTACGGACGGCCCCTAACAGGGCAAAAAGAATATTGTCATGATACATTTTGAAGGTACTGAGGAGAACCTCAAACTCAAAGGCTCAAAGGATCAATACTAACATGACTTACTTATACAGCTAGGAACTGATGTTAGGTTTCCATTGCCCTGGCATGTTGGGTTCATATCACCATCGATGACCAGACTGAGTGGGCAGGAGTAGGTCACAGAGTTTGTGACAGCTACTACACTGAGGTTAGCCTGCCCGTTGTCAATAGCAGGTACATTGCATTTCACATCTGGGTGCAGAACGAGGAAAACGAACCGTTTTTTTTGCAGACAGCCGAAAGACAAGGGAAAATTTTAAATCTAACGCAAGGTGTAGTAATAGTTGGCAGAGATTTCTCCCAATGCATGATGCCCTGGTTTGGCTGACGTGCGGAGCAGCTTTAAGCACTATGAGACCCACCTTGTTTCGTCCACCAGTGCATACTTGCTGGTAAAATTTTCAGCTGTCAGCCAACACCTCCTTGGTTTCACTCTGCTGGATGAGCACCCGTTATACTGGAGGCAATATATTGGGACGTGCTTAGCTGCAATCTAGGGAAATCCACGCTGCGCTGATCCGTGAAATGTCAAGGCAAAAAGCCCTGATCGTAGGAAACCTGACAACGTGTCTAGACCATGAAACTAGAACACACACTTTTCGACTTCAACATTTCAAGTGCTCATATTCTACAAAATAGAATCGGAACACTTCTTTTCTTCTATTGCATACTAGTAAAACCCTGTGTGGAATTAAAGCCTGTGTGGAATTGAAGCCTGTGTGGAATTAAAGCCTGTGTGGAATTGAAGCCTGTGTGGAATTGAAGCCTGTGTGGAATTGAAGCCTGTGTGGAATTGAAGCCTGTGTGGAATAGAAGCCTGTGTGGAATAGAAGCCTGTGTGGAATTGGAGCCTGTGTGGATTTGGAGCCTGTGTGGAATAAAAGCCTGTGTGGAATTGGAGCCTGTGTGGAATTGGAGCCTGTGTGGAATTGAAGCCTGTGTGGAATTGAAGCCTGTGTGGAATTGGAGCCTGTGTGGAATAGAAGCCTGTGTGGAATTGGAGCCTGTGTGGAATTGAAGCCTGTGTGGAATTGGAGCCTGTGTGGAATAGAAGCCTGTGTGGAATTGGAGCCTTTGTGGAATTGGAGCCTGTGTGGAATTGGAGCCTGTGTGGAATTGGAGCCTGTGTGGAATTGAAGCCTGTGTGAAATTGAAGCCTGTGTGAAATTGAAGCCTGTGTGAAATTGAAGACTGACTTTTTAAGATACACTGTCAGTGCACAAGCCTGGTTTAGTATTGACATACATAGAGATACGTGCCTCGAATAGAAGCCTGATTTGAATAGAAGCCTGATTTGAATAGAAGCCTGATTTGAATAGAAGCCTGATTTGAATAGAAGACTGATTTGAATAGAAGACTGATTTGAATAGAAGCCTGATTTGAATAGAAGACTGATTTGAATAGAAGCCTGATTTGAATAGAAGACTGATTTGAATAGAAGACTGATTTGAATAGTAACCTAGCACTGACATTAAAGTCTACAGGTGACAAGTATAACGCTTATACACGACATTCCGATACACGCATTCTAAACAGATCAATGGCTAACTTACGTATCTCGCATATGGCGTACAGCTCGCTGCTCAGGTCACGTGCCACGCTGGCGGTGTCAAATGCCTTGCCATCTGCTGTTCGCAGCCCTCTCCATCCAATCTTTTGTTCATTGGTGTACTTACTCGCACATCCTTTGCCAAAAGACGAATCCGGTAGAATAGTTCCATTGTACATCAAGCATAGTGTGTTTGCTGAACCGTAACTCAGTTTATTGTGTGATATTATCGTTACAGAGGAATCGCAAGCAGTATAGTCGGTTAGTGCTGAAGCTGCAGTCATGTACAAAGCAACGGACAAACATACACACTGTAACTGCTACTTACACTTAGGCATTAGTCCCTGGCTGGGTTTCGTTTTTGAAATCTAATCTATGTGCACCCCCTCCGACATGGCCCAGGAGTGAAAAGCCTGGAAAGGTGGAAAGCTCGTATGATGGTGGAGAACTCCAAGGAACTACAGTGGCTGCGTTCGATTATGCACTTGAATCGATTCATGAATCCATTCGCATGCATTCAAGTCCTTCGTTTTTCACGTCACGATCCCTGGAATCGGTTCGGAATCCATTCACCCTATTCACATGGAGTGATGTGAATAACGCGAATCGATTCACGGGCATAATCGAACGCCCTCACTGGAACCTTGTGTTGCATGGTCAGTGTGGTTTCACGTCAATGCATACATTATAATGTGTGGAATTCAAAGGGTTTCACAGAGAATCTGCTCAACAGCACAATTATTTGGACCGGAAACCTTTTCCATATCGTGCGAACAGTCTTCGATGCACAATGCACGGCCCATCTTCACGAAATCCTGCAGGACACGCACAGTTCCAAACCGTAGGTGAGCCGGAGAACTGGCATAGCATCCACTGGTGGCATTAACGTGCTGCTGTCTTCCATATCTGATCATCCATACATCTTTGTGTAATCCATTTCAACTTGCTCACCATTGCCGTTCTATCCGTTGTTCTTGGTTCGTGTTTTTAGCCGTTATGACCTCACGTGTGCAGAGCCATCAATGCCCAACCACCTCTGCTGTGTCTCCATGCAGCCCCTGCTCAGCAGTTGTCACGTTTGTCCTAGCCTCAGTACCGTTGTCGTCCCATTATTTTCGAGTTGGGTATGCGAAGATACAAAGAAAAAAAAAAGCGCTATCATCGTAGAAGTTGAACTAAGAACTTGGCTCACCTTCCCGTGATGCAACCAACAAGGGGGTACTGACATGCTGGTGTTGTACAGGCTGTTCAATCATGGCACACGCTGCTGAACCACGCACAGCACCCGTGATGCCATAACAGAAATGGGACATTTAAAAGGAAAAATGTCTCTGAAACCCACCGGATGATGCTAGAATTTGAATCAAGGCGTCATGAATGTAGTTAGTATGCACACCCATAGTACTCACAGTGACAAGAGGGAATTGGGCTATTGGTGCCATGAGCATTGCATGTAACTATTGAAGAGCCGAGCAGAAAGTATCCGCTGTTGCACGAATACTGGGCAACTTGGCCATATTCCAAGAGTGAAGCATTAGCCGTGCCGTTTATAATTGCTGGTAAACTGCAGTTAAAGGCTGGGCAGGAGGTCAATAGAGAAAAAGAACAAGGACAAAAGCAGGGTCGACTTTTGCATTTGGAGGAGGACCTTGCATTATGTGCCTTCCTGTTCATAATGGTACACACGTATTTAACTATTCACAACATGGTAAACATCCTTAAGTAAAACACAAATACTTCCTCCGCGTCATCAAAATTGTCGCAGTTTGACTAGTGACTTGTCACTTGCTACTGACAACTCCATAAGCTAAGCCATTCAAAACTAATTACACAGTATGACAGTCTGGTGACTAGAGTAACGTTCCAGGACAGTTGGACTGAGAGTTTTCATGCAGAGATGAAGTTCTCGTCGTCGCTGATGTCAATGGACGGAAAATATCGTTCCGAAATATTTCAAGGAGGGTTGAATGTTGTTCGCGCCTCATCTCAAACGCTTTGACTTTCTCCACAGGACAAGAGCTTGTCGTCTGCTAGCTCTGGATGATTTCTCCTTCACCACCAACGAAGCCTAGTAAGAAAACACGATCGTTGCGAGGTCAGTTGATTACCGGCGGCGGAATCACCTCGATCCTGAAATGAACCTTTTTTAGCCGTGGCATGCCCATTTACGTTAGCTGTGTGGTCACAGCTCATGCAGGTAAGTGTACTATCACGTCCAGCGCGCCCTCTTTTTCAGCATCACTGGTCTACCATGGTACGTCACCTGCGCGTGCATCACTAGCACTACGTGTAGAGTCTACACGGCTCTTGCAGGTACAATCATGTACTGAGTGTCTCAGCCAGAGCGACAAATTTTATCGCTGTTGCAGGCATTTAGTTTGCCGACCCCTCGATGTTTCTCCAAGCGCTGCCACTTGTTCCACGAAGTCATTCTCACCCCAGCGACGGTAAAACAGTGATGAGGCTTGAGTGAATGGGAATCAGCACGAGAAATGTGCAGGCTGCAACGCCTGACTGATCTCAGCGAGTCAAAATTACCATCGCAGCGACATCAGCGAAGAAATTGCGTCTAGTTCAAAAATTCCAGCTTCCAATAACAGAAAATAGACCTTTGCCGTCACCCTAAACTGATGACTATCGCCTATGTCCAATTCCTTGCCTCTGGTACGAGTGCTGGAGAGTAAATACCCCGTTTTATATCAAAAGTCAAGCTGCGACAATTTCGATGACGCGGAGGAAGTACCAGTATACACATCCACAGTAGAAAGCAGCTGCAAGTTGCCATCCTGGACATTAGAAAATGGCAACGAATTCCAACCAGACGACATACAGAAGAGAAAAAATACAAATGTGGGGAGAGAGAGAGAGAGGGAGAGGTGGAGAGAGAGAGAGAAAGAGAGAGAGAGGCGGTGGAGATGAAGCTCTGTTGCAATTCACACTTACGTGCGCAGTGAGGTACCGAAGAGAGACTTCCATTGAGCATGCAGCGTGGCGTGGCATCGCCGATAACCTTCAGACCGGGAATACATGAGTAGGTCACAGTGAATGTGACAACTATGACTTCCTTGTCTTTGAAGCCGTCTGGAATGTAAGGTGCCTGACATTTCGTTTCTGTGCAAAGAATAATAATAATAATAATAATAATCTTCACTAGTTTGAGGGAAAGAGACAACCGGGAAAAGTCTGAAGAAAAAATTGACTGTCACCACCAGGACTCGAACCAGGGACCCTCGCTTGTAGCTAGCGATGCTCTAACCACTGAGCTATGGTGTAGTCGTCATCTCAGCAGAGATCGTTCAACATTTTCTTCAGACTTCGTAACTCACACTTCCTGTGAATCCACATAGGCGGGTGGAACGCAGCGCTCACTGTAACACACACACTTTCACTTGCCATCATATAAAAGACCCAAGTGCCTTCAGTATGTGTGGCACGTGGTGTGAGCTGCCTTTGGGGTGAAAAACTTGTCAGCGCCTTCTAGGTTCAGCCTGGTCCCATAGCTCAGTGGTTAAAGCATTGCTCATGACAAGCAGGGTCCCAGGTTCGAGTCCTGGTGGGTCTGGCGTTTTTTTTTCCCTTTTCAGGCAGTTCACTTCCCCGACTGATCCTTTTAATAATAATAATAATAATACTCCTAATTGCACTAATAATAATAATAATAATTTTTTAAAACGAAGGTAAGTTATGGGTCGCAAATATCCACGCAAACACACATCCAGTCATAATAAGGCACTTGTCATAAGTATCCGAACGTTTTCGGTCCCTTCTCATCAAGGATTTATCGTGCACATAGAATATGTTCCCCTCATCTATTGCAGGACGAATTAGACAGACTGACATCAATATTTACGAACAACGGCTATCCAAAGGAATTTCTGGCCAAGCTAATCAACGAAAAACCGGTGACAGACAAGCCTATCCAATTTGGACCTGACCGTTGCCCAGTGGTGCTCCGTTTACCCTGTGTTGCCACCGGTTCTGCGCGCGTGGAGAAGGATGTTCGTGGTATCGTATGTCCATCATATCCGTGCGTCAAGCTGTACGTCATATTTGGGACAGTGCGTGGATATTTGCGACCCATAACTTACCTTCGTTTTAAAGTATTATCCGCCTCCGACCTCTTTTAAAAAATAAAAATAATAATAATAATAATAATAATTTAAAACGAAGGTAAGTTATGGGTCGCAAATATCCACGCAAACACACATCCAGTCATAATAAGGCACTTGTCATAAGTATCCGAACGTTTTCGGTCCCTTCTCATCAAGGATTATACAGGGAATGGCTCAAGCTGGAAAGACTAAAACTTATATAGCGTAAAGATAATTAGATAACAACACTCGTGACAAGGTGGAAAATTATCAAGTTTAGCACGACACAAAACTCGAAGGAAAATAATAATAGTGACAACAACATAGTGAGCAAATTAAGTTACATTGTTACCACCTCGACGAGGAGTAACACCAAACAATTGTAGCGACAACACATTTTCTTTCTGTACGCAAAGTTCAGGATCTAACTTACGGATATACAAAGCTTCTAACACAGCCAAATGTAACGCACATCTACCACGTGACAATATTGAGAAAACATTATCACTGTACAACTCACGACAATTGGTACGGGCTGACAGATGTTGCTTGATTGACGAAGTGCGATTCTTAGCTCCATTGGGTGTTGTCTCCTCCAATGTCCCATCGTCAAGCTGTACGTCATATTTGGGACAGTGCGTGCGTTCAGTGTGAAGAAGGATGTTCTACCTACCCTTAGTAAAAGTAACCTTATCTATTTCTTTCAATGCCGACAATGTGAAGATCGGTATGCAGGTAGAACCCTTCAGCACCTGGGCGCACGCATTCCTCAACATGTGCCGTTAAGTTGTGTTCCGCTTGATGCGCGCAATTGTCGTCCTCGCCGTGGTCGTCCTCCAAAATGTGCTGTCCAGTCCATCGGTGGATCTTCCTCTTCCCGTGAAGATGTGACTGCATGCCCGTCCTCCTCTGCGTGTATAGGACACGGGCCAGCTGAGAACAGCATAAAAGATGGTGAAAGACCCACACGTAAACCACCCAAACTGACAAAGGATCTGTCGGCGTCGGAAAGGGTGACGAGAAGCCAAGTGAAAATACGGACTGATGAGGACGAACGTACAACGACAACGGAAGTGACAACAACAGTCAATATTTGAAAACGTGGTAGACCGCGAAAACTAACCTCAATATCGGACACCGGACAAGTTGGAGTAAGAAGCTCAATAGAAATCCGCAATGGAGGAGACGTAACGGAAAGGACACCGGGTATCGCGCACCCAGCGGCTAGTGTCAAGAAACGTGGAAGGCCACGGAAACGCGAAGAGACAGATAGTGGTGATGCCACGAAGAGGCGAGATGACGGGACATTGGAGGAGACAACACCCAATGGAGCTAAGAATTGTAAAGTATTATCCGCCTCCGACCTCTTTTAAAAAAAAATAATAATAATAATAATGACAGTTCGCATATCACTCATTGCATGAGGTCAACGCATCTGTTAACAATTTCGAGCCAAGCAGCTCTATGAGAAGCAGATTGCACAGCATCCAGAAGCGACAGATTAATGCGTTGTAAGTCACAGAATGAAGACAACAATTCACTGAAGGCCGATCAAGGAACCAGATGAAGTTCAAGTTTCGAGACCAAGCACTTATCGATTCTAACCCTTCTCTGTGCAGCAATGATTATCTCTGAAACGAGTACAAAATGGTCCTGTTGAAGCTCTCTAGGACACGAACATATTTGCTCATCTGCCTCAATCGTGGAAAACTTCACCTAAATCTGACAGAAAAGGGGTTTTCAACAGGACTCAAGAGTTGACCATATTGGCACGGTGCTGTTTCCAACATCGACATAACAAGTGAATAGAATCATTTGGGAAGAAAATTCAGTGTCGAACAGGCTAAGAACCTGCCGCGTGCTCTTAAAATAATTATATGTATGCAACTCACCACTACAATAGGGGACTGAGGATAGAGTTCCATGCTCCGTGCACATTGGATTGGCAACTCCCACTAATCCATAACCTTGCCTGCAGGAATATATAACACGATCTGGGTATTGAATCTCAGACACGTTGACAAAGCCATTCGCAATGGGAGGGATGGAGCAGTTAACAGCTGCAACCGGAGTGAAGACAACAGAGATACGGCAAGCTAAAAGTCTTCTTCAAAAATCAAATAAACTGCCACCCACCATAAGCTGTGAGCCTAGCCACACCCGGTTCAGTGCCCTCTAAAGAGCTGTATGCCTGGTAAATTGTAAATTTCCCCGCATCTATTCACTTGCGGAGAGATCAGTACACAACATAACAACTTCCTACAGGTTAATAATGTGAATGTATGTCCGAAATCGATTTTCAAGTTTCAATCATCAGTGAAAAAACGGAACTGAAGCCAAAAGGCGATCGCACCAAGATTACATATCCAAGAGAGGTAGAAACAATGCCTACGTGCTGATACATGCCACATGGCGGCTACCGATTTGACACAGTTTATACTTGATAACGTGAGTGAATAATATTAGTACATTAGCACTGGCTGTTGCTGAAGCTCGGATCGTGGTCTGATCCGGCTCAAGAGCAGTATTACGAGGGGACTGAACGGATTTTTGTCATCAAGTATACAGTGTTTTACTCTCTCTCTCTCTCTCTCTCTCTCTCTCTCTCTCTCTCTCTCTCTCTCTCTCTCTCTCTCTCTCTCTCTCTCTCTCTCTCTCTCTCTCTCTCTCTCTCTCTCTCTCTCTCATTGCTTTGCGATCCATGTGTTATGGTAGTTTTAATTCTTGTATTTTTACAAAACAGAACAGCAAGGACAACAAAGGCTTGTTTGCTGCGACTTCAAGTTTCATGCTCTTGCAATCATCAGGCAACTTGAAGTCGCAGCAAACAAGCTTTGATAGTCCTGTTCTGTATTACGCTCTGCCGCCGCGATGCTGAGCACTGTCAGCACACTGGGTGCACCCTCCGGGGCGTAGTTCTTGTGTTTTTGTGTATCTGCATTTTTTTCTCACCTAGAAGGCAGACAGCCCAAACGGGCCGCTTTTCAATGAAGTGTTTTGAATTTTTCTGATAAGGAACACTACAGATGGTGTGGAGTCACGAAAATACCTTCAGTGCAACCACATGTTCCTTTTGCTTGCACACATCAGGCCTATGGATACACACACAGACAGCTTCGAGAACCTTCAACTGGTGTGCATAAGGGCCATATCCTGATGTGGGGTGTTTGTGAGAAGACGTGCATGCCCGCATGTGTATGTGAGTGCATGCCCCTAAAGCCTAGTTCACATTCGACGGGGCGCGACTGGACGCGACGTAAGGATCGACCGGACTGTCTGATGGAGTACAATGTGAACACCAGGAACTGGAACACACCCGTACTGCCGTACGGATCGGGAAGCGACGGGAAGAGTTGGATCGATCCAACTTTTCATACCGTAGACAGGCGTAGACGAGGATGCAAGCGTACAAAGCAACTGCATTTTGAGAGTAAACTGGAGACGGCGCCGTGCACCAACTACTCCCGATTTGTACTTGGAAATGTTTAGCATTTCGAACACTGCGCTTCCTATGATAACTCGCAGAATGGCTAACATGACTTGAGTTGAATTTAGCAAGATAAGATCTGATGTCATTAATGGTATTTAGGGAAAGTTCAGGAGCGTGACAGACGAACTGTTTTATCATTTCCTAGAGCTACTATTTGAATGGCACACCTTTCGAAGCTACTTTTTTGGTGTTCATGAGAAACTGGTATTATGAACTTGATTCTGCTTCATTCAAGGAGAAATAGTTGAAAGGAAGTCGCGAAAACAAGAAATTAGGTCCAAAAGTCACCCCGTCACGTGCCGTGATTTATGATTGACGCCGTTCGCTGTTGAACGACGCAACAACTGCAGTTGTCGTGTGGTACGAATCGTACAAGCTTTTACAGCTCGCCCAAGCCTTCCCGACAGGCCCTTATGTCCCGTACCGTCAGCGTTCCGTCAAATGTGAACTAGGCTTAAGTGTATGTGTGTGCATGCCCTTGTGTGTGTGTATGTGCAAGCCCGTGTATGTATGTGTGTGTCTGTATGTGTGTGTCTGTATGTGTGTGTGTGTGTGTGTGTGTCTGTATGTGTGTGTGTGTGTATGTGTGTGTGTGTATGTGTGTGTGTGTGTCTGTATGTGTGTGTCTGTATGTGTGTGTGTGTGTGTGTGTGTGTGTGTGTGTGTGTGTGTGTGTGTGTGTGTGTGTTTGTGTGTGTGTGCGTGTGTGTGTGTGTGTGTGTGTGTGTGTGTGCAAGCCCGTGTGTGTATGTGTATGGGTAAGTGAAGACAAACACGCACACACACACACCTTGAACCTTGAACGTGCCCATTGCCGATGGCAATGCACACACGCACACACATATACACACACTCTCACACATACACCCATACATATACCCCCCCCCCCCCTCCCGCCATACGCACAGCATGTTCAATACTTATGGTGCGTTACATTAATCTCGGCGAACATGCATTGCCACACTGCCCCTTGAATTTATACAAACATCAAACATTCTGATTACATCAAATGTCAATTGGAATAGCCACGTTACGCATATCTGTAAAACGTCTCGACAGGTTATAGGAGCACTGTGGAGAAATTGGAAGTGTCTCTCTCTGCAGTCGAAGCGAATGGCGTACACGTCCATGGTAGAGTCCAGGATCCGCTATGGATGCTAAGCTTTCTTTAGCTCTCTCTCCAAGGCTAATGAAGAGAGACTTCAACGCCTATGCAACCTAGCCCTGCGAGCCGTGTACAACCTCACCTCCCGTACCCGTATGACTCCCGTGTATGCGGAACACAACCTGCTTCGTGTTCACCAGCTCTTGCGTGAGACAGTGTGCTCGCTGGTCTACCGGTGCCTACATTCCACCATGGAGCAGCCGCTGATCAGCTCATTATTTGGAGATTTCGTCACACCGACTAGGGCTGGCCGAACGCGCGGCTCCCAACAACATCTGCTGCAGCTTCCATCCAGAACTCATCCCGTGTCTCTTTCTGCTGCACGCGTTTGGAACAGTCTTCCACCTGATGCGAGAAACATCACGTCCCCCCCCCCCCTCCAGTTCAAGGGTGTGTTGCATGCGTATTGTCTTACTGTAGCATGACAGCAACCCCCCTTCCCTGTCTTGAGATAGCACTAGTAGTATGTAGTAATCCTGATGCTCTGTACATACCGAGGCTAGCTGTATGCTCAGTCTCCAGCTAGCTGTATGCTCAGTATACATTCTTGATCTTCTCTTCTTCTTTTTTTTTCTCTCTTTTCTTTAAAATGTTTTACTGCCAGAAGTCGTCTTCATATAAGGAGGCAGACATGCCTGTTTGTTGTACGACTTTAAATAAATCCAACCAACCAACCAACCAACCAATTGCAGCATAAATATCTGAGCTTGAATCCAACTTACGTATTTCGCATATGACATAGCGACCAGCAGCTTGGTGAACCTGTGTACCAAGAGTATCTAACAACAAGCCTGTTGCATCCGGTGAGCCTACCCAGGCAATGAGATCTCTACTAATTAAGCCCTGAGCACACCCAGCTTGGAATGAGGACTCAGAGAGAATGGATCCATTATAGAACCGGCATATCTCTTGGCTTACTGCGTAGTTGGTTATGAGGCCTAGAATACTGATGCTTGTCCGGCCTTTGGCCGCCGCGCAAGGTCTGCTGTTGCCCAGCTCTGTAGCCAAAATACACAGAAAGCAAAAAAAAAGAAGAAGAAAATATGGCAAGGAATATTATTTGCACAGCTGCTCCACTGCAGGCTGTACGGTTAAGTGCACGATACGGTATGTAAACCGGTGGTGCAACACAACGTGGGTATTGAACAGTTAGTTGGCCAGTTTCTTATGAGTGGACTTCTGCAAGTTTGAATCCTCTGACGACAGTCTGTACCCGGAGAGCACTGTGTAAGCGGTGCTCTTTGGGCACAGTCTTCCTAGGACTGCTCAAGCTCAACTGACGACAGTTGAGTTTCCCGAAACACTGTGTTTTGAGCAGGGAGCGGCGCTTTCTTGCAGGTTTGCCGAGTGGAAGGTTCGATGGACATATTGTTTGCTGTGGACTTCTCGTGTGCTCTGGATGGCAATTTTGAGTCAGTCAAGCAGAAACGTACAAGCAGCCAATCCGGTTACTGCAGCGCGAGGGTTCCAAGCGCTGATCAACTATATTTTGTGGTGTTAACTTGGTCAAGAACCGATAGAGTCATAGATACACGTCAATACCCCTAATCTTTTTGCATTGCAAAGATGTTTCCATCAGTTGAAATATAACTGTAAAATCAACCACGTTTTCCTGACTCCGCGAAATTGTCTTTCTATAGACCTTATTCGATAACGTGACTTTTGGACTCGCCTCCAGGGATTTGTCATAAGCTAGGGCACGCGTACGAGAAACGAGTGGCAAGAAAGGCCCAGTTTGTACAAAAGAGTAGTAAAATACCGGTATTTATCTACTCCTATGTTCGCACACAGAGTCCACTGTGCACTGAGCGCAGATCTCTTGCCACTCCCTGGTTCCCGGGACCCCGGTGCACGTGATTGTGACGTTTATCAAATAAGGTCTATTCCTTGGCTCAATGAAATTCTTGTCTTTCTATTTCTGACTCCATGAAATTGTCTTCATGTAATTTGTCCTTTTCTTCTTTTGGTTCTTTCTGTCTTATATTATTATCATTTCTTGTTTCCCCTTGCATATCATCCCTAAATCATTCTGTGAGAACCTGTCCTATGGGCAGGTGAGAAGGCATCTATGCCTGTTCATTTGGTGAAGTAAAATAAACAAACACAACGAATAAAGCCAAGAGTCCATAACCCCCGAGAGTGTGCAACTCCAGGTTGGGGTCTGGCGCAACGAAATCCAAACATTGCGTCATCCGGTCCCCGGGCAAGCATGGGCGGATGGGGCCATGTGCATATCTGGTACATCCGGCGGGGGTTCCAAGTTGAAGGTTGCTTTGAAGCAAGCCGCGGAAGTGTCACGTAAAACGTTTGCTCCACGGGCTATGCAGTGTCAGCAGAACGGCTTTGATTTCACAGTCACAGAATTTTTTTATTTGAAGAGAGTTTCTCTGCTCGTTGTCTGAAAAGCTTGTATTGGGAGAGTTCGTGACTCCGGGATAGCAAGAATAGGCATGGATATAGATTTACAAGATTTGATGGAAATAGCTCTTGGCACACGGCATGAAGACCCGATCGATTTCGAAGTAGATGTGCTTCAACTTGCTCCTCAGTCCCATTTTGGCACTGCACACTGCACTCCGGCGACAATGGGGAGCGCTTTGCTTTAGGTTCAACAGTGGCCATTGTTCTTCTCTTATCGGAGAGACACTCAAAAGAGAAAACTGTTCGACAACTCTAAAATAATTCTTTGTGAACTTGAGCCTTTCCAGGCGTGTTACGTACAATACCTGGCCGTGGATTCGTAAAGAAAGACCCCAAATTGAGCAAACGGGCGAAGTAGGTCCGGGCCAAACTTCCCATTTCGTCATAGCTACTCACTATATGACGTATGAAGTTTGGATTTTGTTGCGGCACTGATTTGTGCTGAGAAGGATCACGAGTTGCACACTCTGGGGGGTTATGGACTCTTGATAACGCACATATTGACCTAGGTAAAAACAAGGCATATACAAAGGCTCCTAGGCTTTCAAGTCCTGTTGCTATAATATAGCTACATATTATGTAGGTTACTGGTTCATCTGAAAGTGCAAGGATCAGCAGAACAATGGTTGAAATGATACTGGCTGAAAGTGCAAGGATCAGCAGAACAATGGTTGAAATGATACTGGCGTGCCTTTTCATAACCGAGAACCTCTCTTCTTTTTTCAAATAATTGTTATCCTAGGATTGGGTTTGTTCCCACCCTGGAGCTCGCGCTATTCCGCCGACTTGACTTGACACTTGACATACACTTGACTTACTCAGCCTAAGCTGAACTGATGAGGGGTGAATTCCCTGAAACACTGTGTATTGATCAGGGAGTGGTGCTTTCTTACAGGTTTGGCGAATCGAAGGTTCGATGGACTTCTCGTGTTCTCTGGATGGCAGTCGTGAGCCAGTCAAGTGTCAAGTCAAGTCGGCGGAATAGCGCGGAGCTCCAGTGTGGGAGCAAACCCATTCCTAAACAAAATCATCGCCAAAGTCGCAACCTCTATTTCGAATTGTAATCTTTTTTTAAATAAATTTTAATCGCTGCCTCTCCACCCCAGTCTTAAAGAGTTTAGTTATACCTGTAAAAATTGCTCACCATCATATCGGCAAGTGATATTGCTAGGCATCGCGGTAGATTGCATTTGATCATATCGCTTTGAGAAGCAAGCTGGAGTACAGGAAAACACATTGAAATCATGAAATCAATGTGACCTTAGACAGTACTGCAATATCTGTAGTTACATTAAAAAAATGAAAGTGCACATGCCGACATAGAATTGAAGAGAACAACAACAACAGCAAGAGACCATAGCAAATATTTGGCAGGGGCATGTTTCTATTCCGTTTCTATGTGTCGTTAACGCACTAGCAGTGCTTGTACCCATCCGCAACACACCCGGCTTGTACCTATCAGCAACACACCCAGCTGGTTCGTGTGATTTCTACAGCAGATTTTGCTTCAGCAGTATTTCTTTTGGGTAGTTCTTCGTAGTTTTGCTTCCAGACGGATTGTCTTCGAACTCTCCGGTTATTCCTTCTAGATGGCTAAAGTGGCTGTCTTGATGATGACTTGCCACATGCTCAGCTCTCAGTAGGCTCCCCGAGCACCGTGTGAATCCCCCTATCAACGAAGTTATGAGCTTTGCTAGAACTCTTGTTGTCACACACTGCCCCTGGTAGCATGTCCTGCCACGTCTAAGAGATCATGCCTGAAAAAAACCGGAATAGCTGGGCTGGGCCATCTCTCCGATTTCGCTCAAATTTTACAAAATGATTCGTTGCGACACTCGTGGACACCTTGGAACTGGGGAGCACCTTGAAATGGCCCCGAAATACGACTGAATTCCGGGACCATAAGCGAGAGCTGATACAGTGTACAGAACTAAACTAAGAACAAACCATTATTATGCCAACATGACTTCACGTGAGTACTCTTTACATCACCACCACATCGAGCCATGGCTACAGGAAAACAATGGCCATCATCTCCAAATATAACTAAATTGCATTGCTAAAATAGCCAAGTTTCAAGGGCCATAGCGGGAACCATTTACGCCGTCTATTTTTCTTAACCATGCACTGCAGGACAGTGGACTATCAACCAGGACATGTCGCGTAAAAGTGTTCAACGTTCTGGAAATATATAGATTTGAATATTTTCACTTCTCAATATTGCTACATGGCCAATTTCGTACCCGGCAGTGGAAGATGGAAAGCGATGGAAAGCGCCTCTTCGAGCACCAACACCAGGCACCACTTCAGACGCCAGTACGCTAAAAATCACCTCTATCGAGTCTGACGGGAAGTTTGCGCTGACAATCCTCGTTACTCCAAAGTATTTTCTTCGCCAAGCGACTCGAATTTCACTAGCAGCAAAGCTGTGCAGAAGTTCAAAAATATATTAAACAGATCGAAGCACGGCATTTGTGCGTCCTGAGACTAGCCATGCCCCGGCCACCGGGTGACATAGCAGATCGACGGACTTGATCGAGTTGATCTTAAGGTGATTCGTTACTCTCGCGCCAGAGAATCGTTAATATTATCGCGATGACTAACGTATAAATCGTGGCGCTCTCTGATCACTTACGTATTTCGCATGTAGCGTACAGCTTCACATCCAAGTCATGGTTTTGATAGGCTGTCGACATGGCCTGATTGTTGGCCGGCAAGCCCAACCAGGCATGGAGGGGACCTTTCAAGTGGCGATGGGCGCACCCATATGATACCGACTGCTTGGAAATAATCATTCCCGTATACAGTCTGCAGAGCTGGCTTGCAAAACTGTAGTTCAGCTGATTGTATGATGTCACAATTATAGTTTTAGTTGGCTGACAGTAACGGTATTCGGTCGGCGGTGAAGCTGCAGTCATCGACAAAACACAGCAAGCAAGCAGAGAGACTCTTGCAAATGCATGCAAAACATTCACAAACACGTCCATTCACACATTTACATCCGCCAACACCAGGTAGCCTGACACGATTTAGGTGGAACACCTGATTTTCAAGAAGCAAGTAATTCCTGACTGCAAACTTGGCAATGCTGGGAATCCGAACATAAAAGGCCAAGTGTGCACCATCAATGCAGGGGATGGTTGCAGCAGGAGCTTCTTACGTGGAAAAGTATGACCGGGTACAAGGGGGTGTGGGGGGGGGGGGGGGGGTGGGAGGGACTCAACACATTCAAATGGAATAAGGAATATTTTATTATGACAGTGACTACACAGTGAAGTATGATAGCAGAGAGTTACTGCTGACCGGCCCTTAGCATCCATTCAGCTGTGAAGCCCAAAAGGGGTTTACTACTACCGACCGCACACATAAAGTAAAGTTTGCATTCGACATAAGGCTGTTTCCTGAGTACTTACGATAGCATGACGGCGTTTCACTGGTACTCAAGCGACCAAAGCCATAACATGTAATCGAGGGATTGCCCAACAGGAAGTACCCGGTGTTGCATGAATATACAGCAGATTCATTAGCGTTCAATTCTGAGGAACTCGGCCGGCCATCCGGTATCCCAGGAACAAGGCAGTTGAAGTCTGGCAATTAGAAAAAATTAGCGAAGTATTGTATACATGAATACCTGTAAGGTTGGAGCCTGCGGAGGATCTTTCCATAGCGAAAATAAAATGTTAATTCGACAGGAGAACAAGCGTGAGTGTAGAAGAAATACAGTAAATGTCTCTCGGATGTTAGTCGCTAGAAGTTCACCTCGCTAACTCACACAAATCGGTAGATCGCTACCTGCAATTGACGCCAAAATGTAAGGTTGCTCTCATAGTAAATGTACTTACAATGACAAGTGGGCTTTTGCATGAAACTCAAACTGCCATTGTTGCCATTGCATATAGCCGTGTCATTGCCCATCAGGAAATATCCGACGTTGCATCCATACTGAGTAGATTCGTCAGCTCGCACTACTGATGCACTCGAGGTGGCATTCGCTATCGCAGGTACACTGCAGTTCAGGTCTGAAAACAAGTTAAATAACGACACGGTAAAGGTGTAAAGAGTATTTTTTATTTTATTAAAATAGAATAAACCACATGGAAACGAGCCACGAAGCAACCATCCTCGACTGTAACAAGATAATAAGCAGCCAGACAATGCGATAACAGGGCACAAAACTGACATGTTCCTGAGACACTCAACAAACTGCTTATTCTCTGTTCGGTACGTCTGTTACCATGTGTTATCGTGTTTTGCACCATGCCTGGCGCTATCCCGTGCATGTCCCGTACAGCGACTGAGGGGATGCATGCAGGGCGATAGTGGGGATTCCCAAGCTTTACTTGGAAAAAAAGTTTACAAATTAAATGAGCCAGCGCCAGAGCGTAAAATTATAACTTCTTGGCAACTGTGGGGCGGGGGTGTGGGCTCTATCCTAAACCCATGTACATAGGGGGTTGCTGCGGATACTGTAAAGAGTGAAATTTTCGCGGCGTTTTTAGTTCGCGTTTTCAGAATCCGGACAGGTTTGCGAGGTTTTAATGTTGCGATTGCAGAATGGCATTCTTGCTAAACCCGTGGCATTCTTGCTAAAACTTTCATGGATCTCCTTTTCACGTCGTCTAAATTTCGCGATTTCCAAGCGGTCGCGAATCTCGCAGAAATTAGACCATCGCAATAATCTCACGGTTAACAGTATGTCAAAAATGATAACGAGAGGGATTGGAGCACAGGAGCTCTCGATATGCTTTGTTTATGATGACCTGGGTCATCAAAATCCTAGCAGTACCAGGACCTGTGGAAGCAAGTTTTGATTGGTACGGCCAAAAGCTAGGCTTTCATACAGTTTGTGTATGATGTCTAGTGTATACACAATGACCTACTCAGCAGTAAACACACATTGTGAGCCAAAAAGCTGAGCCGGCGAGGCCCTGACCAAGCGGACCGGTTCTGCCCGGCCTGAGTACTAGGCCTTCACCTTATTTCTTTTTTTCTGCCTTTTTTTGCTAAGAGTAGGGGCTAAGAGTAGGGATCTCAGCGCGTGAACTGCGCAGCCAGTCTGCGCAGGTGAGATTTCCGATCCCAAACGCGTCCAGTGCAGAAATCGTGGAAAAGAACATTTTTTCGAAATAAATCAAGTTGAAGAAGACGGTAGAAATGGCTGAATATTGCGTCCAGGAAAGCACGTTCTACGGCCATCTCCAAGCTACCTATCTCCCAGACACTCTCTTAGAGGAACTATGGAGGGTCAAAGAGCACAATCTTTCACTCTTGGACACAGCGTGAACACCTCTTCTACTGAGCGCGATGTCTTCTCTCCGAGTGATAATGGCGGCGATGTTCGCGATGGCTGATGCACTGAAATCGAAGTTAGGACAATCTAACCGGAGAAAAGGTCTGAATTTTTGACTGAATCCTCTCTGAAGTGGGTTCTTGCCGCATGGAAAATTTTAGGAAAATCGACCGGGCCAATATCGCCTTGGCCACGCTGTCCTTCGGCAGGAAGTACAAAGTATGTTCGAACGACGATGAAGATGACGATTCGGCTAGTGTCCTCAGCCGTTTTGAGTTCTCTGATGTACAACGCTACCTGCTTGGCTTGGGATCACGCTTCCGAGTCACATCCTCAATCGCCAACCACAACAATTTCTCGACTGATTTAGCGCGTTTTGAGCGACGTGTACGCTGGAAGGAAGCTATCGAGGAAGGTTCACACGGTCCCCCTCAACAAAAAGGATCCATAAAGAAATTCCACATTGCCAGCAAACGGTTGCCGCCACCTGCATTTACCGAACTGAAACTGTTTGAGCTCCGGTCGGAGGCGACCGCCTTGCGCGACGCCTGCAAGCCACGACGTCGAAACACCACCAGAGCCCAGCAGGATATTGTTCTGTCACTGCGACAGGATCCACGTATCATTGTCCGTGACGCAGACAAAAATCTGGGTACAGCTATCCTGAATTCCGATGAATTTGCCGCCGAAGCCGCCCGACAGCTCGCGGACACCTCAACATACCGCATTGTTTGCCCCGTTGGCCGGGACACTGCCCTCAATCCAGAACTCGAGGCCATCGAAACGGAGCTAACCAGGATCATTTCCAGCCATAATGTCACTAGGCGAGACGCAGAAGCACTCCTTGCGAATTTCCCTTTCAAGCCAGCCAAGTTTCGGCTCATTCCCAAAATCCACAAACCCCTTGGGCCCTGGGGAGTTAAAGGCAGGCCCATTGTGTCGTGTCAGGGCTACTGCACAACCCCAGCCTCTCGCTATGTCGACTACCATATAAAGAGTCTCATGAAATCAGCAAACACTGTGTTTACTTCTACTAACAATGTTGTAAAGAGTTTGATCACTCCGTCGAACGATGACTTGAGTGACTGCGCCCTTTTGACTGCAGACGTCGAAAGTCTTTACACATGCATGTGGTGGAAAGACACGACCAATGCCTTGCACGTGTTCCTCAACGAAAATAATCACCCCATGAAAGACTTGCTCATTGATCTTTCGTCTTTTGTGCTAAGAAATAATTTTTTCGAGCATGATGGTTTGGTGTATCACCAAGAGAATGGCATGGCCATGGGTACACCCATGGCGGTTAATGTTGCAAATATTTTCCTCTTCGTCCATGAGCGTACATCACTCTCAGTCTTCCGTAACACCATAAAGTTCTTCGGTCGATACGTTGATGATCTTCTCTTAATCATCAAAAGACTGAGCAATCTGCCTGCCGTCAAACGGCACATGTACGCAAAACTTGACGCCATCAGACTTACGTGGTCAGACCCCAGTAAAAGTATTGAGTTTCTTGATTTGATCATCTCTATTAATGATAAATCCACATTCACATTCAGTACTTTCCAAAAGCCCAGGAACGCTTATTTGTACATCCCATTTACGTCCGACCACCCCCGCTCATGTTTCAGAGCCTTTATTAAAGCTGAATTGCTGCGCTATAACCACACAAACAGTGAGATCACCTCCCTGCTCGCTACACGTGATGCTTTCTGGACCAGGCTTCGCAAGCGTGGTTACCCTCCTAGGTTTCTCCACGATGCGTTCAGTGATACCCCAGCTAGCTGTCAACTCATACCTCCAGCTAGCTCTGTGCAAGCATCTGCCTCTTGCCCCACAGTTTTTGTTACTGACTATCACCCTGGCCTCCTCAGCCTTCAACGCACCCTGCAAAATTCTTTTCGCGCTAACTTATGTTTTAGGAAACCACATTCACGATGGGTATAGGTATTTTTTACCTCCATGCCATGCCTTGCACTCAACCTCGTGTTTGTTTTTTCGCCTCGCAAGCAACCCCGTGTTTTGTTCACGCTTTCTTTCGCGCTAAATCGCTAAATTGCTTTTTTTCGCGCTAATTACTCGACAGTGCTCAACGCCTGTCTGTCCACTTCGCTGGTTATATTGAATTCCACATTGTCATTTATCCTCATTCCTCTGATGAAGTGACTCATGTCACAGAAACCGGTCAGGTTAAAGAACTTGGAACTTTCCTTGCTTGTGAGTGCGTGGTTGTTATGTTTTAGACTTCCGGTGTAGGACCTTCGCCGATGCTTCACTAGGCTGTGTCCGCGAGCTGCACTCAAAACTCGATGACGCAATGTATGCGCAAACACCCTGCGCACTGCACGCGCTGAGATCCCGACTAAGAGCTTTCTTTTCACAAACCGTAATGTCGCGTATTAAACCAGTGCTTGCGGCCGTATAAGCCGGGGGCTCAAACCATGCTTCTATACAAGTTATGCTTCTATTCGAAACATGCTGCTACGTCAACATCATCATTCTGCAATGTGCAGTGCATACTGCCATGCACGTATGTACGTACCCCTTTTACTTTACAGGGAGCAGCTTCTATTCAAACCATGCTTCTGTGTTACGGCGATCTTTAAAAAAATCTGCTTCTATTCGAGTCATGCTTTGTTATGGATTGTATGCATGTTCTGTGCAACGTCACAGTCCTAGATTACATGCATGCTATGTGTGATGTCATTATCAGATTTTCTTAGCTACTGTTACCATGCGCCTAGTTACTGTTGCCATGCAGCACTCTTGGCTTCCTGTGCTGCATGTCTTTCCTCTCTGGTTTTACATTAACTTCCATGTTCCCTCTCAATGCAATGTATTTCTAAACTCTCCGATCGTCTGATGGGTGTTTATGAACATGAAACTCGGAGTTACGAGAAAGATTTTTGGTCCCTGTTGTTCTTGCTTTGTGTAGTACGCTCTGGCCATTTTCAGGCATCGAGCACTATTTGCAGCAAGGACTCGGGACACTTTGTCAAAACTCTCCGACCCGTGTGTATCAGTGGAGCGGTGCATGAGTGGTGTGCGGGCTGAATGCGAACCACATGTACCGGTCATACTCATATTCGCGACAGTACAGTTTTTTTCTTTTCACCTGTGTCGTCTCCCTGCCAGTTTTTTTCCCATTCCTGCGTTACTTGGACCTCATTTGCTTCCTTGTCATTGGACATGTTTAGTTAGTTCGGTTTGTGAAAACAAATAAACACAACCAACCAACCAACCAACTAACCAACTAACCTGGATTATGACAGTTTTACTTTACAGGTGCATTCTCAGTAATAGATCTAACTACAGTTAAACCTGGTGTAAGCGATGTCTTGATTTAGAGACCAGACACTCTTATCGGTCGTTTGTCCATGCACGGACAGTCCTACACACACACACTGTGGGATCGGGTTCAAGGCTTTAATATTGCAAAATCCTTGCAGCAATTTGTTTGTTTTGAACATCTCAAATCAAATGGGCAGGCTTGCCCAATATCATGATGGCGATTGAAATGGTACAACATTGCCACATAACTGGCATCATGTACTCTGCGATAGTCTCCAATATGAATAGACATACAAGTATAAATAAACGGCATTATGCAGCTGTGTAAGCAGTAGATGCACAGTTTGACTGCCAGGCATCTCCGTCAGATGCCAACTGCTTGCACAGCTGCATAATGCAGTTTATTATTTTATATTATTTTTATTTTACTCGGATGTTGAGCCAATAATAAATGTAGAAAGGAAAAGGACAAATGGATACGATTTATTTTACTAATAGCTATGAAAAGTATGAATGCCGCAGACATCACCACGCAACATGACAATTTGTTCAAGGTTTGGTATTGTGTGTTTCCAGAATCGATTTTCAAGCTCCGATCATCAGTGGAAATACGCCACTAAAGTGATCAAGGGAAAAATCCAAAGAAGTGTGACACATGACGCGTAAGTATTACAAAAAAGTGAGGGCCAAGATAAAGAGTAAGTGTGACAAATGGGCATGAACAGTGCAGAAACAACTCATGAACACGGGGTGCAAACTCACGAATAACCTAAGTGCTACAACATGTTCATTTTGCTTACACAAATCGGGCTTATGCGTACGAATACAAACAGCTTCAAGGATCTTCAACTGCTGGACATAACTTTGAACAAATTGTCATGTTGCGTGGTGATGTCTGCGGCATTCATACTTTTCGTAGCTATTATCAAACTTTTATCTCCATTAACACGCATGCACTCCCTATTGCAGACCAGTGGAGAGCACACATCATATGGAGGATTCATGGAGTGCTGGGCAACCGAATCTGGCATGTGATAATCATGTAGGATAGTCCACGCACGAGGTGCAGCCCATGAAATGGGCACCCATGAACTGGGCGGAGTGTGGACGGCCTGTATGATAGTGTGTATGTATGTCCACGCACAAAGTGCAGCCCATGAGATGGGCGCCCATGAAATGGACGGAGTGTGGACGGCCCACGCACACGAGGTGCAGCCCATGAATGGGCACCCATGAACTGGGCGGAGTGTGGACGGCCTGTATGATAGTGTGTATGTATGTCCACGCACAAAGTGCAGCCCATGAGATGGGCGCCCATGAAATGGACGGAGTGTGGACGCCCACGCACGAAGTGCAATGCCCGTTAGGAGGCAGGAGTGTGGGAGTATGAGTGTGATGGCCGAAGGCCGTGATAATTGCCAGATGAGAGGAGATAGCTGGCCCAGCACTCCTATTTATTTTCGTCTTGTATGAATTATGATACCTGTGTTGAATCAAGGATATCAATATTATTCATAGATGGGAAGAGGTGGGTGGGTAAGAAAGGAACAAACCGGTGTTCTTCTCACTACCCAAGCAAAGCAAATATGAAGTAGCAATACGGCCAGCGCAAAGTATGGTGTATGCGTTACGGGTTCAAGCTCTGATGTGTGCTGCAGCCGCATATGGCTGGTTGGCTGGCGAGTTCAGGTGAGTTCCGGCGTACGCATGTAACATGCCACCACAGCGTGCATGTACGTGTTACTTGACATGCATCAATGAATAGCGTGGGATCTGCGGGCTCTTTGGAAGCCGTTAGGAGTTAGGAGTGTGGGAGTATGAGTGTGATGGCCGAAGGCCGTGATAATTGCCAGATGAGAGAAGATAGCTGGCCCATGGTTGCCCAGCCTCCATGCTAAGTTGTGACACATTGCAATGCACGTGAATGACACCGTTGTTGCTATCAGCGCAGTTTGTCAGCACAATCCTAGCAGAGCAAGTTGCTGTGCTGTTCCAAACGGTCAGCCGTGTGGGTACGTGCATGGGTGCGAGTTGCGTGCCCGCGTGGCGGGTTCTTACATACCTCCATGCGTTGTGTGATGCGCTTGTACCTCTGATAGCTTTTGGGTCAACTGCGCCATGTCTGTGTCGGTTGTCCTGATGAAGCGCAAGACGCTGTCGCTTCTCCATCGGCCCATTGCCCTGATTAGCCAGTCCGGGGTACCCGCCATGGCTGCAGTTGTGGCGGCACCGATGTGGAACGAATGACCAGCGTAATCGCGTGAATTGGGTGTTCCCGTGAGTGGGAGAAGCTGTCGGAGCTTTTCTGTCAGTGCCTGCCTGGTCAGCGGTCTCCCAGGGCGGTAGCGGAAGAGTGCGTCAGTGGCGTCAGACGGACAGACTGTAAAATATGCCAGGAGGGCGGCAACCGGGCAAGGTTGTGAAGTGGTACTACCGATTATCTGCATGGCCCTGACGAAGTTGGTCCGTCTTCGATTGCTTGATGTGGAAGCGGATATATGTGCGTCCTTAAGTGACATCCAGAGTCACATCCTGGCGCGTGGCATGAGTGGCAGGGTCAAACCCGGCTGGAGGCGCAGTGAATTCAGCGCATCGAAGAGATCTGAAGAAGGCGAGCACCATTGCCGCCTTGAGCATGCCCTTGTCCTGCTGGTGACGCCGTTGGTCCAGGCTGAGTTGGTTGAGGAGCTTCCGCAGCAAATCAATGGTGATTGGGAGGCGAGTGCGCTGGATTGCCGGGTCAGTCGCCGTCCTCTTGATGCCTCGCATAACACGTGGCGGCAGCAATGCATTCATCGTTGGATCTCGGAATCCGGCTTCGAGATGCATGTTGCGTACTGCGGCCATGTAGACATGAATTGTCTGTGGTTGAACCGATTGTGTGAGGTGTGCTGCGAAGCAGCTGGGCATCGTGTCTGTAGCCGGCATGGGCGTCCATCTCTGCAACGCACAGAATTGCGTAAATTTCCTTTCACCAGTGGCGTACGTGCGCCGTGTTGTCGGGGCGATTGCCATGGCTGCCAGGTCGGCGACCTCCTGCATCAGTCCAGGAGAGGGAGGCGGATTGCAGTGTCCGGGGCTTGCTGTGCTGATGGTGCCAGCTGCTGGAATGCCTGTCAGAGTGATACAGAAATAGGGCTTGGCGCGGCTAAACCTCTTGTTGATATCCCATAAGCGCCGCGTAAATGTTCTGCCTGGTACGACGACGCTCGACGCAAAGGAGAGTTTCCCCAGGAAGTGAACGAGTTTGTGTTGCGTGGTCTGGGTGCAGCGTGACAGCTCGCTGAGGAGCTCGCGGAGGTCCGTCGGTTTGTCGTCTGGGAGACGGGCTTCCATGCGCACCGTGTCCAGCACAATTCCGAGGAGGGCAGTAATGTGTGAAAGCGGACAGTGTTCAGGGGAGTGGAAGTCGGCTTACTTTTTCTCAGTGGGCTTCGAAGTCTTCTCGTGGCTATCTGCAGGGCGCTGCCACCTGAAGCGGGTGGTGCTGGTGCAGGATGTGGCGGCATGTCCTTTGTCTTCACATGAGCTGCAGGCGTAAAGACGGTCGCAGGGTGTGCGGGAACAGGGCCTGCCGCGGTTGAAGTTAAAACAGACTTGGCGGGTGCTGCCCGCCACTGATGGAAAGGGCTGCGCGTGTTGAGCTGCGGCATGTGGGCAGGCAGCGGTCGCGGCTGTTTTGGAGCGTGCATTTGGTGCATGACAGACGGGGAGAGCGGAGTAGGCGAATACTCCACAGCGTCTGATTGATCACGTCCCAGCGCAGTGCCATGCTGGCGGTGTGTTGGCGAAATGCTCGATCATAGTTCAGCACAGGAGACGTCTGCATGACAGACGTGGAGAGCGGAGTAGGCGAATACTCCACAGCGTCTGATTGATCACGTCGCAGCACAGTGCCATGCTGGCGGTGTGTTGGCGAAATGCTCGATCATAGTTCCGCACAGCAGACGTCTGCATGACAGACGGGGAGAGCGGAGTAGGCGAATACTCCACAGCGTCTGATTGATCACGTCGCAGCGCAGTGCCATGCTGGCGGTGTGTTGGCGAAATGCTCGATCATAGTTCAGCACAGCAGACGTCGTGAACTGTTGGTTCGCAGTACAAAGTATGTGCTGGTAGCAGACGAGCTCATGAGCTCGGTCAGGACGAGCAAGAACGACGATGCCCATGTAGATCGTCCAGGCCTCCAGCCAAGCCGAGAAGTCGTTGATCGCGCGCGTGTGCTTTGCGCTGAGGTTGAGCGAGAGCTGAGCCATGTCGCCGCCAGCTGTTACCAGTTGTATTGGCTCCTGTCCCTGGGAGCTGAAATTTTCCAGCAAGAGTTCCTCAAGTTCCACAAACTCTCCGCGCTGGATTTTTTCAATCGCGCGACGTGGCGGTGTGGGTAGAACCGAGGGCTTGGAGAGAACTGGAGGTCCTGGCAAAGTCAGGGTTCCGATAGAACTGGAAGTTCCGGGCAGGATAGGTCCGGAGCTTGACGCTCGGAGCGTGGGAGCGATCTTTCGGGTGCGGAGCACGCGCGTGGGAGAGATCGGCTTCCAGATCAGACTCAGCACTGTCTGTTCTCCAGGCGTTCCACACGTTCGAGGAGAGAGTGGAGGGCGTTCATCTTCATAACGGCTGAGGAAATGATGTCCGGGGAGAGCAATGAGGGCTCGTCCTGCATAGAAGCGTCGGTGCCTGGAGCGGGGTCAGAAGTCTGAACTAGCTGCTGACGGTGTGTCGGAGGCATCAGGCGCGAAGGCGCGCATGCCGTCAGTCCGCGCGTATGGCGAGGTCGAAGCCCTACCCGAGCGGCGACGGGTAACCTCGACGGCATACCCGCGGCCGCGTCCACGTCTGCTTCCTCGTACAGAGCCTCGTGGCATGGTGAAAGAGAGAGAAAGGCAGTGAGAAAGGAGAAAGGAACAAACCGGTGTTCTTCTCACTACCCAAGCAAAGCAAATATCAAGTAGCAATGTGGCCAGCGCGAAGTATGGTGTATGCGTTACGGGTTCAAGCTCCGATGTGTGCTGCAGCCGCATATGGCTGGTTGGCTGGCGAGTTCAGGTGAGTTCCGGCGTACGCATGTTACATGCCACCACAGCGTGCATGTACGTGTTACTTGACATGCATCAATCAATAGCGTGGGATCTGCGGGCTCTTTGGAAGCCGCTGGAGCGCGTGTGAAGTGGTGGCTTGTGCAATGTGTTAACCTACATTACCGCAAGCTCTAATGTGCTACGTAGATTATTTTTTTATTTTACTATTTTTTATTTTCGGCAAACGCAGCTGATGATGATGATAATTATACAAGTATGTCTGCTGCAACGCAACCGCTGTATCAACAATGACGAAAATACCAGTTGGTGGTCCAAACCGACAACGATGGTGGCGATTCTGACGGCCTCACTTGGCTTTGTGATCTGTGTTCTACGGTATGGCAAGAGACTAGGATTCGATCAGAGTTCTACACAACTAACCAAGTAGAACTCACAGTCACAACGCGGAGCCACTGACGACAGACTCCCATTCTCCAAGCAACTTTGAACGGCATCGCCGATCAGAGCCAGATTGTTAAGGCAAGAATAGGTGACGGCTTCCTGGAACTGAATTACCATCCTATTAGCAATGCCACCGGCAATTTCAGATACATTACATTTAACAACTGCAGACAGAAGAAGAAATGGGAGAAACGTAACAGGCTATAAGTAAATCTGGTTTGTCATATCACATATCCACTTCAGACTACAGATTGTAGGCTCACAATGACAACATGATTAAGACCCGTGTTCTGACAACACTTCTACCAAGTACACCGCCTTTTCTGCGGAATATCTTCACTATAAGAACAACAATGGAGGAAGATAATACCTATACAGGTTTGATGTGATGTCTCTTCTGTAGCTGAGGTATCTCAGTTGTTCGTGCAACCTTCGCTCCATGTAAAGCAGATGAGGCCCGCAGAACCTTGCCCGAAAAATATCATCACACGTCATCAACTTTTTGCAGGCCGGAATAGTGGGATGGTCTCTAAGACCATGATTGGGAAACAGACGGTCCCAGGTTCAAGTCCTCCCGAAGGGAGCGGAAGGAATTTTTCTAGCCGTGCTGCAACCCACAGTTGATTGGGGATTTCGGTTTTCACCACTTTGGGATTGATGTGTTCTACATCTACTACCCTCCCTCCCCCTCCCCCCCCCACCACCCCCACCCCCCCCCCCACCACCCCCCCCCCCCCCCCACCAACATTTGTGCGTTCTGATCCTAGAGGGTGGTTGCGTTCCTGCATATGCGTTCCTGCGGATGCGTTCCTGCGGATGCGTTCCTGCAGCTTCCAGCCGAGTCTCAAACTTTGACGTCGCTGAGTACAGATCATGCCGGTATTCAGTGCAAATGGTGAAGTGTTAACGGACTCCAGTCTGAATAGAGAGTACAGAGTGGGAAGTGGGGAGTGGAGTGAGTGAGGAGGGGGATGCGCGTGGACAGATCAACAATAACCAAGCTTAAACTTACTGGTGCAGGTATGGATTTGCGTAGTTGCATTACTGCACACTGGTTGTGCATGGAGGTATTCATAACCACGTTCACATGTGACAGTACCGTTCTCTGAAATATTAGATATTCTGTCTCCATCCGTACGTTGGCAAGCTTGGAGCACAAATAGAACAGTGGAAAATCGAATGATCAGATTGGGCGGAAAACTCTAGAGATCAAGAGGATAATTCTTTTGGCATGAAAACGTCCCATAATTCTCCCTAGGATGGCTTATGATTCACTATAGGTGACATATAGAGCGTGTGCAGTTCATCCACCATCTGTATGGGGCTCAATTTGCCAAAGACTGGAATACACAGACAGCAGAACAATCAGCTGCGGTTTCGTAACTCTGAGTTTCACGAGCTGAATCGAGCATCAGACGAAAATTGGTAGTGACCCTGCCCTGAGAGTACTGCTATTAAACCGTAAAGTACCGTTGATCCGCCCCCTCTCTAATTCCCGCCTCCTGTCGATGTTCTACCTGTGAAGCGACTTCGGCTTATACAACGAAAACACGATGTTGAGCCGACGCATGCACTGCTGTACAAAATATTTGCCAATCCAGCATGTAAATGTGCACACTCCAGTCTGAACTTCTGCGTTGTTGTACATCGTACTGCACTTGACAGCCTTGATCTAATTCCCACCGCCTGCCGAAAACCCAGCTGAGAAGCGACATGGCGTGGTCCTTTACGGTACATGTACCATGAATGCGGCAAGCCCAGCATAGCAAGCACGATGTTAAATGCGTGAGCAAGAATTACCTATCTGTGTATTGTTCATTCCCATGGAATCAGGGGACAAAGCTTGACAAGAGATGACACAATTATATGACACATGTGACATTTAAGAACTGTGTATTCGATATTATGCTAGGATCCACCTCGTAGCCAGAACAGCTCATTGCTAAAAACTGAGCAAAACCAGTGTGCATTGGACCCATCAGCCCATCCTTTATTTCCCATCTTCTCCTTATAGCATATCATTATAATGGCAGTCACTTCAATCCTCATATATAATTATATAATGATAAAAAGAATTGGCACTGGGTTTTCTCTTACGTATTTCGCAAGTGACGTATATGGAGGCGTTCACGAAACGGGTGGAAACAGGGTGGGCTAGTGTTCCGGTTGCAAATGCAATCTCATCGGTTTTTCCATCTTCAAACTGGTTGATCCAGGCTATGCGGGTATCACCGAGCAATGTTGATGTGCATCCCGACTCGTACGCGTTCGCACTTAGTAATATGCCATTGCGTACCCTGCATATGTCATGGCCATCTGTAAAGTTGAATACCTTAGCATCGTGCGTCCGTTTCAGGACTGCGCCAACCTGAGGACAGTAGCTGTACCCAGTCAGTGACGTATCTGGGTGGAAGCACATATAGAAACAGATATAAAGATACAAGAACTGAGATTGTGAGCAGGGGCGTAGGAGGGGTTTTGGAAGTGGTACGACCAAAGGCAAAGGTCGGCGCGGCCGAAGGCCGTGTTGGAGGGGGTCCGGGGGACTTCCCCCGGGAAAATTTTGTAAAAAAGACACAAAATCCTGCGTTCTGGGAACTTCTGGCACACTTCACACACACTTCTGGCGCAGTGTGCATGCAGTCGAGTCGAGTACGGTAGACTCAGTCCGACTGCAGATGCATAACAGATCTACGAGTCTAGAAAAAGGTCAAAGTCTGATGCGCATATGCATCGATGGATCCTGATTTTTTTTTTATTACGGTTTTGCACATTCCGGACGGACCACACTTTTCGAAAAGTGGTACGGCCATGGTCGTACCAGTCGTAGCGGGTGCTACGCCCCTGGTGAGCCAAGGAAAGAAAGTTGTAACAAGGAAATCGTGGGCACGAGTCATGCTCTTCATGCCGTGGAATGTCTCAGTACTCCTAGTCACGTTTGTGCTAAGTTGTGCACGTCTGACTCTTCAAAATCTGGTTTAGTTAGCCGACGCGATCGCATGACTTGTGCCAACAATTTTCATGTTACAAGAAGTTACAAGTGGTTTCAAATACTTATCATCTCTGCTGGTCATTTTTGCAACACATCACTCCGTACTTGAGCTACTGTGGTTTGGGTTCGCAAGAAGACATAAAATGGCACAGACCATCATTGCACCCGGTCTTGTGAGGACAGGTTTTGAGAATTCTTTCACTATCCATGCACTGTTAAAATGTCAACCGTGACCCGTGAATTCAGCAAGTAAATGCAGGGCCATATAAGGAACGACCTGCATTGGCAATGCGGTTACAGTGGCCCACGTAATGACAAATAACTGTCCCAGAGAGTTGCTAATACACACAGTGTTTAAATGTGATGAACTACAAATTAATGTGTGTGAAAAGAGAAAAAGAGAGGTTGAACAAATCAAACACCAAAGTGGAAATTCGGTAACGGTGACTGAATGACTCCAACATACCACAAGCATTATGCAAGAATTGTAAGTGATCATCACCACTCTGCTACTGCAGTAAAGACCTGATGGGCAGATTCCAAAGGTGGCCTGGGATGAGCGGACCAGAATTGGCTTCTGATGTGAGTCAAAATGTTGGCGTGTGTTCATTTTTTGTGTTTCATGTCGCATTTTGTGACTTTTGTCAAAGTTCAAGACAATACATGCACATCGAACAGAACTTACTGGCACAGCGTGGCGGCACTGAAGACAGATTTCTGTCAGCCATACAACTTTGCGTGGCTACACCCACCACAGCTAGATTGTGAAGGCAAGAATAGGTGACAGTTTCCTGGTATTGAATTACCATCCTGTCGGTCAAACCATTAGCAATTGGTTGTACATTACATTTCACCGCTGTATAAAGCATGCGAAATGGAAGGAAAAAAAAGAGTTTCAAAGGTGTATGACATTCTGCATTTGGTCCAAAAAACAGATTGGAGGCATGGAACAAGGATTGATTTTTAGTCATTCTTTGTCTAGTATCAAGACAACAATTCACACAGTTGACCCAGTACACGTCGTGCCCCCCCCCCCCCACACACACCATTTGTCAAGAGGACTACGGCAATGGAGGAGGACCACATGGCCTATGACTGCAGGAGAGCGGGGGGGGGGGGGGGGTGGGGGGGGAAGGTATTATACGATAATGTATGTCCCACATCTACCCACGCCAACAAACTCTCATTTTGTGACTCATTGGCCTAAAATGATTTTGTCGTTCTTCTTGCCTTAAAAACTGCATGCAACACTCCAGTCAACGGGAGCACCAAAACGTGTCGGTATAACATGGAGAAACATTAGTTTTTGAGTTGCAAGTGCTCATAGCTTTTTTTAGTCGAAAATACACTTTAATCTGCAGCTTTAGGTGTAGTGCTAGAGATGTACTTACTGTCTAGACAACGCAACATGTTTCGTGCTCAGATATGAGTTTGCACGTACTTTAGCATGAGCATGAACCTAAGAGCTTGGCACCGGCAATTGACACCAAGTAAGCCTACCCGAAAGAAAATGAGGAAAATCAAGTTAAAGAAACAGCGAGGAGACGCACTGACACTAACAGTGAGATCAACACCTCACGGCTACGAAGCTGCGGGACTCTCCGCTGATCGTCTATCCGTGTGGAGGCAAAGTAAGCGCGGGCAACATTCTGCTGGAGCGAGCGCTGAGCTGAAGCTGGATTGGTGACTGTCATACCTGCTGTTTACTCCTCCACACCGGCGCATAATGATGTACAAAACTCAGGGCCTGCTAGAGAGCCGGGTCACGCGCCCGGCTGGGGAACTGCATGACCTGGCTGAACAGATATCACCGGGTCCAGTCTCACCCGGCTGAAAAAAATGTCTCAGACTGACAATGGATTCCTAAAATACTGGTATTTTACGACACGCTGACCCCATCTGTTGCAAATCTAGCGCAACCGTACACACTACAATCTACAAGCGACAGACTCGGCTAGGGTCAACTGGGGTCAACTGGTTCCAGCGCGATCTGGCCAGCGGCGAGCAGGAAGTCGTGACATTCAAAGTCGATGGGGCAGGCAGTCAAAAGCGTAACTAATTACTTAGGCTATAGCTTTTGACACAGTTGCAAGTTTTCATCCGACTGGTGATTTGGACGATGGAGCTCGCAGCGAAGAGAAAAAGAACGCACGCTTTCCAAGACTTTTGGAAGAAAGGTCGACCCTGGCTGGACTACGAGCATGTCAGTCTATCCATGTCATACGCATTTCCAAACTTTGGAAATCCACCGCCGCTCGTGTTCCGGGAACGCGAGCGGCGGTGGATTTGGTCGCGATGCGTGGTTGAAAGTTCATACATGTCACGTGCCTGTTGTCAGGTCGTTGCTAGCATTTGGCCAATCAGAGCAGCACCGTACCAGGGCATTATCGTCTGGTACTTTGGCAGGTACTTTGGCAAGAGATCTCTAGTTAGAAGCTGCAGATCAGAGATTTTCACTGGTGTGTGCCATGTCCGGCATGCAACGAGACTACGGCACGATCAGAATTCTACACAACAAATCAAATAGCGTATCTCCCAGATTGTAAGTCGCTCCTTTTCACACTAAACTTCAAGTGCAAAGAAGGCGGTGTGACCTACAATCAAGTGTGACTCCTTACTTATGTGAATGCATTGAGACGATTTGGTTCGGACGTGAGAATGGGCTGCGACTTATAATCAAGTGCGACTTGTAATTGGGGAAATATGGTAGAACTCACAGTCACAACGAGGCGCCACTGACGACAGACTCCCATTCGCCAAGCAACTTTGCGTGGCAATGCCCACAAGAGCTAGATTGTCTTGGCACGTATAGGTGACCGTATCCTGGAACTGTATCACCGTACGGTTAACAGTAGCATTAGCAATAGCTGGTACATCACACTTCACAGCTGTACAAAGGAATACAAAAAAAGGAGAAAAGCACCAGCCCGAATGTAAAGCAGTCGTGTGATCTCAAATCGTTGTAAGCTATGTTTGGACGACACTTCAACACAGCACACTGCCTCGCCTTTGAATTCTCCTCACAATAAGAACAGCCATGGAGGACGAATACACCCAAAGTATACAGGTTTGATGTTAATTTGATATCATATTATGCCTCTTCACTAACTGAGGTATCCCAGTTGTTCGTACAACCTTCGCTTCCTAAGCGTCAGGCGAAATAGCACGTCATAGTACATTCGAGATCAGCGGGAAGAAGATGACGACGTCCACTAATTTAGTATCTGTGCACACGAATCTGTTGTGTGTGTTACTCTGTGTGTCAGCTATGGCATCATCGCCTGTGGTTCCATGCCTAGCCTGTACGTCTGAATCATCCTGCAAAGTTTGAATGACGTAGGTTGAGCGATCGCTCCACGAAACATACTTTTTGAAATTCTCTTCATAGTATATCTTCCACCACTGAAATTTCGAATTTCTTCGAATTTTTAGCTGAGAGGGGTGGCTTGCAACCTCGATATGGCTTGTTCCAGGCTTGCTTTGGAGCCATCGCCTGTTGAAACAGTGGCGGGAAGCTGCCCTGCAGCTGTTCCAACAGGAAATTAATCGATCCGAGAAAGCGTGAGTCCGCGAATCTCGGTTGAATATTGAGTATTTCAAGCCTTTTCACGACGAAGATGGAGTTCTTTTTGGAGATGGACGTCGCGGCAAAGGACATGGTGTCCGACTTCTGGCGTCTGGTGAAGCCAGGGATCATTTGTCCAGTCAGGTCGGCAGCCTAGCCGTCGGTAAGCTTGTGTTTGGATCCCGTTCTGCTCGATGTGGTAGATCACAAACAATTTGATATCGCACAAATTGATCTAAGCATCGTGCGTACGATATTTTATATTCAGAAAATCCCAAAGTGTCTCTGTGTGGTCGTCCTATGCCACGAGGAACTCCAATCAGGCTCCTGTGTCCTCTGCCTTCATGATTGAATGTCCACTTCGTTTGAACAACGAACACAACAATCGAGGACGGCTTTGCAATGAAAAATACAGCTATACTGGAGCTGAAAAAAAAGAAGAAAAAAACGTGCTCAGGATGAGACTCGAGTACACGCATACTCTCCCAGCAGGTGAAACGCAAATTTTTGTGAAAAATGCGTCTCTAAGACCATGATTGGGAAACAGACGGTCCCAGGTTCAAGTCCTCCCGAAGGGAGCGGAAGGAATTTTTCTAGCCGTGCTGCAACCCACAGTTGATTGGGGATTTCGGTTTTCACCACTTTGGGATTGATGTGTTCTACATCTACTACCCTCCCTCCCCCCTCCCCCCCCCCCCCCCACCACCCCCACCCCCCCCCCCCCCCACCACCCCCCCCCCCACCAACATTTGTGCGTTCTGATCCTAGAGGGTGGTTGCGTTCCTGCATATGCGTTCCTGCGGATGCGTTCCTGCAGCTTCCAGCCGAGTCTCAAACTTTGACGTCGCTGAGTACAGATCATGCCGGCATTCAGTGCAAATGGTGAAGTGTTAACGGACTCCAGTCTGAATAGAGAGTACAGAGTGGGAAGTGGGGAGTGGAGTGAGTGAGGAGGGGGATGCGCGTGGACAGATCAACAATAACCAAGCTTAAACTTACTGGTGCAGGTATGGATTTGCGTAGTTGCATTACTGCACACTGGTTGTGCATGGAGGTATTCATAACCACGTTCACATGTGACAGTACCGTTCTCTGAAATACTAGTTATTCTGTCTCCATCCGTACGTTGGCAAGCTTGGAGCACAAATAGAACAGTGGAAAATCGAATGATCAGATTGGGCGGAAAACTCTAGAGATCAAGAGGATAATTCTTTTGGCATGAAAACGTCCCATAATTCTCCCTAGGATGGCTTATGATTCACTATAGGTGACATATAGAGCGTGTGCAGTTCATCCACCATCTGTATGGGGCTCAATTTGCCAAAGACTGGAATACACAGACAGCAGAACAATCAGCTGCGGTTTCGTAACTCTGAGTTTCACGAGCTGAATCGAGCATCAGACGAAAATTGGTAGTGACCCTGCCCTGAGAGTACTGCTATTAAACCGTAAAGTACCGTTGATCCGCCCCCTCTCTAATTCCCGCCTCCTGTCGATGTTCTACCTGTGAAGCGACTTCGGCTTATACAACGAAAATACGATGTTGAGCCGACGCATGCACTGCTGTACAAAATATTTGCCAATCCAGCATGTAAATGTGCACACTCCAGTCTGAACTTCTGCGTTGTTGTACATCGTACTGCACTTGACAGCCTTGATCTAATTCCCACCGCCTGCCGAAAACCCAGCTGAGAAGCGACATGGCGTGGTCCTTTACGGTACATGTACCATGAATGCGGCAAGCCCAGCATAGCAAGCACGATGTTAAATGCGTGAACAAGCATTACCTATCTGTGTATTGTTCATTCCCATGGAATCAGGGGACAAAGCTTGACAAGAGATGACACAATTATATGACACATGTGACATTTAAGAACTGTGTATTCGATATTATGCTAGGATCCACCTCGTAGCCAGAACAGCTCATTGCTAAAAACTGAGCAAAACCAGTGTGCATTGGACCCATCAGCCCATCCTTTATTTCCCATCTTCTCCTTATAGCATATCATTATAATGGCAGTCACTTCAATCCTCATATATAATTATATAATGATAAAAAGAATTGGCACTGGGTTTTCTCTTACGTATTTCGCAAGTGACGTATATGGAGGCGTTCACGAAACGGGTGGAAACAGGGTGGGCTAGTGTTCCGGTTGCAAATGCAATCTCATCGGTTTTTCCATCTTCAAACTGGTTGATCCAGGCAAAGTGGGTATCACCGAGCAATGTTGATGTGCATCCCGACTCGTACGCGTTCGCACTTAGTAATATGCCATTGCGTACCCTGCATATGTCATGGCCATCTGTAAAGTTGAATACCTTAGCATCGTGCGTCCGTTTCAGGACTGCGCCAACCTGAGGACAGTAGCTGTACCCAGTCAGTGACGTATCTGGGTGGAAGCACATATAGAAACAGATATAAAGATACAAGAACTGAGATTGTGAGCAGGGGCGTAGGAGGGGTTTTGGAAGTGGTACGACCAAAGGCAAAGGTCGGCGCGGCCGAAGGCCGTGTTGGAGGGGGTCGGGGGGACCTCCCCCGGGAAAATTTTGTAAAAAAGACACAAAATCCTGCGTTCTGGGAACTTCTGGCACACTTCACACACACTTCTGGCGCAGTGTGCATGCAGTCGAGTCGAGTACGGTAGACTCAGTCCGACTGCAGATGCATAACAGATCTACGAGTCTAGAAAAAGGTCAAAGTCTGATGCGCATATGCATCGATGGATCCTGATTTTTTTTTTATTACGGTTTTGCACATTCCGGACGGACCACACTTTTCGAAAAGTGGTACGGCCATGGTCGTACCAGTCGTAGCGGGTGCTACGCCCCTGGTGAGCCAAGGAAAGAAAGTTGTAACAAGGAAATCGTGGGCACGAGTCATGCTCTTCATGCCGTGGAATGTCTCAGTACTCCTAGTCACGTTTGTGCTAAGTTGTGCACGTCTGACTCTTCAAAATCTGGTTTAGTTAGCCGACGCGATCGCATGACTTGTGCCAACAATTTTCATGTTACAAGAAGTTACAAGTGGTTTCAAATACTTATCATCTCTGCTGGTCATTTTTGCAACACATCACTCCGTACTTGAGCTACTGTGGTTTGGGTTCGCAAGGAGACATAAAATGGCACAGACCATCATTGCACCCGGTCTTGTGAGGACAGGTTTTGAGAATTCTTTCACTATCCATGCACTGTTAAAATGTCAACCGTGACCCGTGAATTCAGCAAGTAAATGCAGGGCCATATAAGGAACGACCTGCATTGGCAATGCGGTTACAGTGGCCCACGTAATGACAAATAACTGTCCCAGAGAGTTGCTAATACACACAGTGTTTAAATGAGATGAACTACAAATTAATGTGTGTGAAAAGAGAAAAAGAGAGGTTGAACAAATCAAACACCAAAGTGGAAATTCGGTAACGGTGACTGAATGACTCCAACATACCACAAGCATTATGCAAGAATTGTAAGTGATCATCACCACTCTGCTACTGCAGTAAAGACCTGATGGGCAGATTCCAAAGGTGGCCTGGGATGAGCGGACCAGAATTGGCTTCTGATGTGAGTCAAAATGTTGGCGTGTGTTCATTTTTTGTGTTTCATGTCGCATTTTGTGACTTTTGTCAAAGTTCAAGACAATACATGCACATCGAACAGAACTTACTGGCACAGCGTGGCGGCACTGAAGACAGATTTCTGTCAGCCATACAACTTTGCGTGGCTACACCCACCACAGCTAGATTGTGAAGGCAAGAATAGGTGACAGTTTCCTGGTATTGAATTACCATCCTGTCGGTCAAACCATTAGCAATTGGTTGTACATTACATTTCACCGCTGTATAAAGCATGCGAAATGGAAGGAAAAAAAAGAGTTTCAAAGGTGTATGACATTCTGCATTTGGTCCAAAAAACAGATTGGAGGCATGGAACAAGGATTGATTTTTAGTCATTCTTTGTCTAGTATCAAGACAACAATTCACACAGTTGACCCAGTACACGTCGTGCCCCCCCCCCCCCCCCCCACACACACACCATTTGTCAAGAGGACTACGGCAATGGAGGAGGACCACATGGCCTATGACTGCAGGAGAGCGGGGGGGGGGGGGGGGGGGGGGGGGGAAGGTATTATACGATAATGTATGTCCCACATCTACCCACGCCACCAAACTCTCATTTTGTGACTCATTGGCCTAAAATGATTTTGTCGTTCTTCTTGCCTTAAAAACTGCATGCAACACTCCAGTCAACGGGAGCACCAAAACGTGTCGGTATAACATGGAGAAACATTAGTTTTTGAGTTGCAAGTGCTCATAGCTTTTTTTAGTCGAAAATACACTTTAATCTGCAGCTTTAGGTGTAGTGCTAGAGATGTACTTACTGTCTAGACAACGCAACATGTTTCGTGCTCAGATATGAGTTTGCACGTACTTTAGCATGAGCATGAACCTAAGAGCTTGGCACCGGCAATTGACACCAAGTAAGCCTACCCGAAAGAAAATGAGGAAAATCAAGTTAAAGAAACAGCGAGGAGACGCACTGACACTAACAGTGAGATCAACACCTCACGGCTACGAAGCTGCGGGACTCTCCGCTGATCGTCTATCCGTGTGGAGGCAAAGTAAGCGCGGGCAACATTCTGCTGGAGCGAGCGCTGAGCTGAAGCTGGATTGGTGACTGTCATACCTGCTGTTTACTCCTCCACACCGGCGCATAATGATGTACAAAACTCAGGGCCTGCTAGAGAGCCGGGTCACGCGCCCGGCTGGGGAACTGCATGACCTGGCTGAACAGATATCACCGGGTCCAGTCTCACCCGGCTGAAAAAAATGTCTCAGACTGACAATGGATTCCTAAAATACTGGTATTTTACGACACGCTGACCCCATCTGTTGCAAATCTAGCGCAACCGTACACACTACAATCTACAAGCGACAGACTCGGCTAGGGTCAACTGGGGTCAACTGGTTCCAGCGCGATCTGGCCAGCGGCGAGCAGGAAGTCGTGACATTCAAAGTCGATGGGGCAGGCAGTCAAAAGCGTAACTAATTACTTAGGCTATAGCTTTTGACACAGTTGCAAGTTTTCATCCGACTGGTGATTTGGACGATGGAGCTCGCAGCGAAGAGAAAAAGAACGCACGCTTTCCAAGACTTTTGGAAGAAAGGTCGACCCTGGCTGGACTACGAGCATGTCAGTCTATCCATGTCATACGCATTTCCAAACTTTGGAAATCCACCGCCGCTCGTGTTCCGGGAACGCGAGCGGCGGTGGATTTGGTCGCGATGCGTGGTTGAAAGTTCATACATGTCACGTGCCTGTTGTCAGGTCGTTGCTAGCATTTGGCCAATCAGAGCAGCACCGTACCAGGGCATTATCAGACGATAATGCCCGGATACGGCGTACCCATGCCCATTAGGAATGACCCCAGGCGTACTACGTACGCTGGTGCACTGCCAAATATGCAACAAGCCATGCCTTTTACGGCAGTGACCTGGTACAAAATTGGCAGTACTCCAGCGCAAGTAGAACACATGGGACCATCCCTAAGGACACCACATGCACTCGCACACACCACACAAAACGAAACTACTTACGTGCACCATGAGGAGAGGAGGAGGAAGGGGAATGAATAATAGTCATGAAACATGTGAGAGACGTAAATTTAGTAGTGTCGTAATGAGGTTGGAGATGTTAAACCTTTCAATGATTGGAGTGCTTCACTTACGTATTTCGCACACGACGTATACTGACGCGTTCACGAAAAGAGTGGCAACAGGTTTGGCTGGTGTTCCGGTGACAAACGCAATCCTATCGTTTGCTCCATCCTCAAACTGGTTGACCCAGGCAACTCGTGTCGCACCAAAAAATGTGAATGTGCAATTGCTCCCGTACGCTTTTGGACTTAGTAATCTACCATTGTGCAGCTTGCATATAAAATCGCCATCTGTAAAGTTGAAAAGCTTGGAGTCGTGTGTCCGTTGCAGGACCGCACCAACTTCAGGACAGTAGCTGTACCCAGTCAGTGATGAATCTGGAGAGGAGCACAACATATATATGCAATTAAAAAAAAACTTTATATCTCTGCTGGTCGATAATCTTAATTAACCGTCCACCTCTCCACATTGCGCTCGTGGCCCACATTCACAACACTATATTCCATAGCGAGAAAGTTCGCTCTTGGATAGAAGTTCCATATCCTCCAGACAGCTGTTTTGCTCATTAAGAGCTCCTCAGTGGAGGTAGAGAAGGAGTGAATGGCAGATAAAGGCCAAGAACAAACTTCCTCGCTATGGACTGGTGTTTTGAGTGAGGGCCAAGAGCGCAGTTTGAAGAGGTGGACGGTTAAGATTATTTTCAAATTACCGAGTTTGTCGCTACATCTGAGTCATCTGTGCAGGTCATTTTGCAAAACATCAGTACTTGTGCTGCTGTGGGCTTACCAGGAGCAATGGCATGGCACATATTCTTTCAAAATCTAAGCAGGAAGTCGAGTTGTTGTTTGTCATTTTGTTAGTTTGTCAGAAGTTACTGCCACAATTGCATTGGGTGTTAGAGGTGATGTGCGTCTTGAAGAAGCACTCCCTATTCCCTGCAGAGCAATTTCCCAGTGGCAGTCGTCACACGACGGAAGATGCAGGTACTTTGGCAAGAGATCTCTAGTTAGAAGCTGCAGATCAGAGATTTTCACTGGTGTGTGCCATGTCCGGCATGCAACGAGACTACGGCACGATCAGAATTCTACACAACAAATCAAATAGCGTATCTCCCAGATTGTAAGTCGCTCCTTTTCACACTAAACTTCAAGTGCAAAGAAGGCGGTGTGACCTACAATCAAGTGTGACTCCTTACTTATGTGAATGCATTGAGACGATTTGGTTCGGACGTGAGAATGGGCTGCGACTTATAATCAAGTGCGACTTGTAATTGGGGAAATATGGTAGAACTCACAGTCACAACGAGGCGCCACTGACGACAGACTCCCATTCGCCAAGCAACTTTGCGTGGCAATGCCCACAAGAGCTAGATTGTCTTGGCACGTATAGGTGACCGTATCCTGGAACTGTATCACCGTACGGTTAACAGTAGCATTAGCAATAGCTGGTACATCACACTTCACAGCTGTACAAAGGAATACAAAAAAAGGAGAAAAGCACCAGCCCGAATGTAAAGCAGTCGTGTGATCTCAAATCGTTGTAAGCTATGTTTGGACGACACTTCAACACAGCACACTGCCTCGCCTTTGAATTCTCCTCACAATAAGAACAGCCATGGAGGACGAATACACCCAAAGTATACAGGTTTGATGTTAATTTGATATCATATTATGCCTCTTCACTAACTGAGGTATCCCAGTTGTTCGTACAACCTTCGCTTCCTAAGCGTCAGGCGAAATAGCACGTCATAGTACATTCGAGATCAGCGGGAAGAAGATGACGACGTCCACTAATTTAGTATCTGTGCACACGAATCTGTTGTGTGTGTTACTCTGTGTGTCAGCTATGGCATCATCGCCTGTGGTTCCATGCCTAGCCTGTACGTCTGAATCATCCTGCAAAGTTTGAATGACGTAGGTTGAGCGATCGCTCCACGAAACATACTTTTTGAAATTCTCTTCATAGTATATCTTCCACCACTGAAATTTCGAATTTCTTCGAATTTTTAGCTGAGAGGGGTGGCTTGCAACCTCGATATGGCTTGTTCCAGGCTTGCTTTGGAGCCATCGCCTGTTGAAACAGTGGCGGGAAGCTGCCCTGCAGCTGTTCCAACAGGAAATTAATCGATCCGAGAAAGCGTGAGTCCGCGAATCTCGGTTGAATATTGAGTATTTCAAGCCTTTTCACGACGAAGATGGAGTTCTTTTTGGAGATGGACGTCGCGGCAAAGGACATGGTGTCCGACTTCTGGCGTCTGGTGAAGCCAGGGATCATTTGTCCAGTCAGGTCGGCAGCCTAGCCGTCGGTAAGCTTGTGTTTGGATCCCGTTCTGCTCGATGTGGTAGATCACAAACAATTTGATATCGCACAAATTGATCTAAGCATCGTGCGTACGATATTTTATATTCAGAAAATCCCAAAGTGTCTCTGTGTGGTCGTCCTATGCCACGAGGAACTCCAATCAGGCTCCTGTGTCCTCTGCCTTCATGATTGAATGTCCACTTCGTTTGAACAACGAACACAACAATCGAGGACGGCTTTGCAATGAAAAATACAGCTATACTGGAGCTGAAAAAAAAGAAGAAAAAAACGTGCTCAGGATGAGACTCGAGTACACGCATACTCTCCCAGCAGGTGAAACGCAAATTTTTGTGGAAAATGCGTCTCTAAGACCATGATTGGGAAACAGACGGTCCCAGGTTCAAGTCCTCCCGAAGGGAGCGGAAGGAATTTTTCTAGCCGTGCTGCAACCCACAGTTGATTGGGGATTTCGGTTTTCACCACTTTGGGATTGATGTGTTCTACATCTACTACCCTCCCTCCCCCCTCCCCCCCCCCCCCCCACCACCCCCACCCCCCCCCCCCCCACCACCCCCCCCCCCCCCACCAACATTTGTGCGTTCTGATCCTAGAGGGTGGTTGCGTTCCTGCATATGCGTTCCTGCGGATGCGTTCCTGCGGATGCGTTCCTGCAGCTTCCAGCCGAGTCTCAAACTTTGACGTCGCTGAGTACAGATCATGCCGGCATTCAGTGCAAATGGTGAAGTGTTAACGGACTCCAGTCTGAATAGAGAGTACAGAGTGGGAAGTGGGGAGTGGAGTGAGTGAGGAGGGGGATGCGCGTGGACAGATCAACAATAACCAAGCTTAAACTTACTGGTGCAGGTATGGATTTGCGTAGTTGCATTACTGCACACTGGTTGTGCATGGAGGTATTCATAACCACGTTCACATGTGACAGTACCGTTCTCTGAAATACTAGTTATTCTGTCTCCATCCGTACGTTGGCAAGCTTGGAGCACAAATAGAACAGTGGAAAATCGAATGATCAGATTGGGCGGAAAACTCTAGAGATCAAGAGGATAATTCTTTTGGCATGAAAACGTCCCATAATTCTCCCTAGGATGGCTTATGATTCACTATAGGTGACATATAGAGCGTGTGCAGTTCATCCACCATCTGTATGGGGCTCAATTTGCCAAAGACTGGAATACACAGACAGCAGAACAATCAGCTGCGGTTTCGTAACTCTGAGTTTCACGAGCTGAATCGAGCATCAGACGAAAATTGGTAGTGACCCTGCCCTGAGAGTACTGCTATTAAACCGTAAAGTACCGTTGATCCGCCCCCTCTCTAATTCCCGCCTCCTGTCGATGTTCTACCTGTGAAGCGACTTCGGCTTATACAACGAAAATACGATGTTGAGCCGACGCATGCACTGCTGTACAAAATATTTGCCAATCCAGCATGTAAATGTGCACACTCCAGTCTGAACTTCTGCGTTGTTGTACATCGTACTGCACTTGACAGCCTTGATCTAATTCCCACCGCCTGCCGAAAACCCAGCTGAGAAGCGACATGGCGTGGTCCTTTACGGTACATGTACCATGAATGCGGCAAGCCCAGCATAGCAAGCACGATGTTAAATGCGTGAACAAGCATTACCTATCTGTGTATTGTTCATTCCCATGGAATCAGGGGACAAAGCTTGACAAGAGATGACACAATTATATGACACATGTGACATTTAAGAACTGTGTATTCGATATTATGCTAGGATCCACCTCGTAGCCAGAACAGCTCATTGCTAAAAACTGAGCAAAACCAGTGTGCATTGGACCCATCAGCCCATCCTTTATTTCCCATCTTCTCCTTATAGCATATCATTATAATGGCAGTCACTTCAATCCTCATATATAATTATATAATGATAAAAAGAATTGGCACTGGGTTTTCTCTTACGTATTTCGCAAGTGACGTATATGGAGGCGTTCACGAAACGGGTGGAAACAGGGTGGGCTAGTGTTCCGGTTGCAAATGCAATCTCATCGGTTTTTCCATCTTCAAACTGGTTGATCCAGGCAAAGTGGGTATCACCGAGCAATGTTGATGTGCATCCCGACTCGTACGCGTTCGCACTTAGTAATATGCCATTGCGTACCCTGCATATGTCATGGCCATCTGTAAAGTTGAATACCTTAGCATCGTGCGTCCGTTTCAGGACTGCGCCAACCTGAGGACAGTAGCTGTACCCAGTCAGTGACGTATCTGGGTGGAAGCACATATAGAAACAGATATAAAGATACAAGAACTGAGATTGTGAGCAGGGGCGTAGGAGGGGTTTTGGAAGTGGTACGACCAAAGGCAAAGGTCGGCGCGGCCGAAGGCCGTGTTGGAGGGGGTCCGGGGGACCTCCCGCGGGAAAATTTTGTAAAAAAGACACAAAATCCTGCGTTCTGGGAACTTCTGGCACACTTCACACACACTTCTGGCGCAGTGTGCATGCAGTCGAGTCGAGTACAGTAGACTCAGTCCGACTGCAGATGCATAACAGATCTACGAGTCTAGAAAAAGGTCAAAGTCTGATGCGCATATGCATCGATGGATCCTGATTTTTTTTTATTACGGTTTTGCACATTCCGGACGGACCACACTTTTCGAAAAGTGGTACGGCCATGGTCGTACCAGTCGTAGCGGGTGCTACGCCCCTGGTGAGCCAAGGAAAGAAAGTTGTAACAAGGAAATCGTGGGCACGAGTCATGCTCTTCATGCCGTGGAATGTCTCAGTACTCCTAGTCACGTTTGTGCTAAGTTGTGCACGTCTGACTCTTCAAAATCTGGTTTAGTTAGCCGACGCGATCGCATGACTTGTGCCAACAATTTTCATGTTACAAGAAGTTACAAGTGGTTTCAAATACTTATCATCTCTGCTGGTCATTTTTGCAACACATCACTCCGTACTTGAGCTACTGTGGTTTGGGTTCGCAAGGAGACATAAAATGGCACAGACCATCATTGCACCCGGTCTTGTGAGGACAGGTTTTGAGAATTCTTTCACTATCCATGCACTGTTAAAATGTCAACCGTGACCCGTGAATTCAGCAAGTAAATGCAGGGCCATATAAGGAACGACCTGCATTGGCAATGCGGTTACAGTGGCCCACGTAATGACAAATAACTGTCCCAGAGAGTTGCTAATACACACAGTGTTTAAATGTGATGAACTACAAATTAATGTGTGTGAAAAGAGAAAAAGAGAGGTTGAACAAATCAAACACCAAAGTGGAAATTCGGTAACGGTGACTGAATGACTCCAACATACCACAAGCATTATGCAAGAATTGTAAGTGATCATCACCACTCTGCTACTGCAGTAAAGACCTGATGGGCAGATTCCAAAGGTGGCCTGGGATGAGCGGACCAGAATTGGCTTCTGATGTGAGTCAAAATGTTGGCGTGTGTTCATTTTTTGTGTTTCATGTCGCATTTTGTGACTTTTGTCAAAGTTCAAGACAATACATGCACATCGAACAGAACTTACTGGCACAGCGTGGCGGCACTGAAGACAGATTTCTGTCAGCCATACAACTTTGCGTGGCTACACCCACCACAGCTAGATTGTGAAGGCAAGAATAGGTGACAGTTTCCTGGTATTGAATTACCATCCTGTCGGTCAAACCATTAGCAATTGGTTGTACATTACATTTCACCGCTGTATAAAGCATGCGAAATGGAAGGAAAAAAAAGAGTTTCAAAGGTGTATGACATTCCGCATTTGGTCCAAAAAACAGATTGGAGGCATGGAACAAGGATTGATTTTTAGTCATTCTTTGTCTAGTATCAAGACAACAATTCACACAGTTGACCCAGCACACGTCGTGCCCCCCCCCCCCCACACACACACCATTTGTCAAGAGGACTACGGCAATGGAGGAGGACCACATGGCCTATGACTGCAGGAGAGCGGGGGGGGGGGGGGGGGGGTGGGGGGGGGGGGGGAAGGTATTATACGATAATGTATGTCCCACATCTACCCACGCCAACAAACTCTCATTTTGTGACTCATTGGCCTAAAATGATTTTGTCGTTCTTCTTGCCTTAAAAACTGCATGCAACACTCCAGTCAACGGGAGCACCAAAACGTGTCGGTATAACATGGAGAAACATTAGTTTTTGAGTTGCAAGTGGTCATAGCTTTTTTTAGTCGAAAATACACTTTAATCTGCAGCTTTAGGTGTAGTGCTAGAGATGTACTTACTGTCTAGACAACGCAACATGTTTCGTGCTCAGATATGAGTTTGCACGTACTTTAGCATGAGCATGAACCTAAGAGCTTGGCACCGGCAATTGACACCAAGTAAGCCTACCCGAAAGAAAATGAGGAAAATCAAGTTAAAGAAACAGCGAGGAGACGCACTGACACTAACAGTGAGATCAACACCTCACGGCTACGAAGCTGCGGGACTCTCCGCTGATCGTCTATCCGTGTGGAGGCAAAGTAAGCGCGGGCAACATTCTGCTGGAGCGAGCGCTGAGCTGAAGCTGGATTGGTGACTGTCATACCTGCTGTTTACTCCTCCACACCGGCGCATAATGATGTACAAAACTCAGGGCCTGCTAGAGAGCCGGGTCACGCGCCCGGCTGGGGAACTGCATGACCTGGCTGAACAGATATCACCGGGTCCAGTCTCACCCGGCTGAAAAAAATGTCTCAGACTGACAATGGATTCCTAAAATACTGGTATTTTACGACACGCTGACCCCATCTGTTGCAAATCTAGCGCAACCGTACACACTACAATCTACAAGCGACAGACTCGGCTAGGGTCAACTGGGGTCAACTGGTTCCAGCGCGATCTGGCCAGCGGCGAGCAGGAAGTCGTGACATTCAAAGTCGATGGGGCAGGCAGTCAAAAGCGTAACTAATTACTTAGGCTATAGCTTTTGACACAGTTGCAAGTTTTCATCCGACTGGTGATTTGGACGATGGAGCTCGCAGCGAAGAGAAAAAGAACGCACGCTTTCCAAGACTTTTGGAAGAAAGGTCGACCCTGGCTGGACTACGAGCATGTCAGTCTATCCATGTCATACGCATTTCCAAACTTTGGAAATCCACCGCCGCTCGTGTTCCGGGAACACGAGCGGCGGTGGATTTGGTCGCGATGCGTGGTTGAAAGTTCATACATGTCACGTGCCTGTTGTCAGGTCGTTGCTAGCATTTGGCCAATCAGAGCAGCACCGTACCAGGGCATTATCAGACGATAATGCCCGGATACGGCGTACCCATGCCCATTAGGAATGACCCCAGGCGTACTACGTACGCTGGTGCACTGCCAAATATGCAACAAGCCATGCCTTTTACGGCAGTGACCTGGTACAAAATTGGCAGTACTCCAGCGCAAGTAGAACACATGGGACCATCCCTAAGGACACCACATGCACTCGCACACACCACACAAAACAAAACTACTTACGTGCACCATGAGGAGAGGAGGAGGAAGGGGAATGAATAATAGTCATGAAACATGTGAGAGACGTAAATTTAGTAGTGTCGTAATGAGGTTGGAGATGTTAAACCTTTCAATGATTGGAGTGCTTCACTTACGTATTTCGCACACGACGTATACTGACGCGTTCACGAAAAGAGTGGCAACAGGTTTGGCTGGTGTTCCGGTGACAAACGCAATCCTATCGTTTGCTCCATCCTCAAACTGGTTGACCCAGGCAACTCGTGTCGCACCAAAAAATGTGAATGTGCAATTGCTCCCGTACGCTTTTGGACTTAGTAATCTACCATTGTGCAGCTTGCATATAAAATCGCCATCTGTAAAGTTGAAAAGCTTGGAGTCGTGTGTCCGTTGCAGGACCGCACCAACTTCAGGACAGTAGCTGTACCCAGTCAGTGATGAATCTGGAGAGGAGCACAACATATATATGCAATTAAAAAAAAACTTTATATCTCTGCTGGTCGATAATCTTAATTAACCGTCCACCTCTCCACATTGCGCTCGTGGCCCACATTCACAACACTATATTCCATAGCGAGAAAGTTCGCTCTTGGATAGAAGTTCCATATCCTCCAGACAGCTGTTTTGCTCATTAAGAGCTCCTCAGTGGAGGTAGAGAAGGAGTGAATGGCAGATAAAGGCCAAGAACAAACTTCCTCGCTATGGACTGGTGTTTTGAGTGAGGGCCAAGAGCGCAGTTTGAAGAGGTGGACGGTTAAGATTATTTTCAAATTACCGAGTTTGTCGCTACATCTGAGTCATCTGTGCAGGTCATTTTGCAAAACATCAGTACTTGTGCTGCTGTGGGCTTACCAGGAGCAATGGCATGGCACATATTCTTTCAAAATCTAAGCAGGAAGTCGAGTTGTTGTTTGTCATTTTGTTAGTTTGTCAGAAGTTACTGCCACAATTGCATTGGGTGTTAGAGGTGATGTGCGTCTTGAAGAAGCACTCCCTATTCCCTGCAGAGCAATTTCCCAGTGGCAGTCGTCACACGACGGAAGATGCAGGTACTTTGGCAAGAGATCTCTAGTTAGAAGCTGCAGATCAGAGATTTTCACTGGTGTGTGCCATGTCCGGCATGCAACGAGACTACGGCACGATCAGAATTCTACACAACAAATCAAATAGCGTATCTCCCAGATTGTAAGTCGCTCCTTTTCACACTAAACTTCAAGTGCAAAGAAGGCGGTGTGACCTACAATCAAGTGTGACTCCTTACTTATGTGAATGCATTGAGACGATTTGGTTCGGACGTGAGAATGGGCTGCGACTTATAATCAAGTGCGACTTGTAATTGGGGAAATATGGTAGAACTCACAGTCACAACGAGGCGCCACTGACGACAGACTCCCATTCGCCAAGCAACTTTGCGTGGCAATGCCCACAAGAGCTAGATTGTCTTGGCACGTATAGGTGACCGTATCCTGGAACTGTATCACCGTACGGTTAACAGTAGCATTAGCAATAGCTGGTACATCACACTTCACAGCTGTACAAAGGAATACAAAAAAAGGAGAAAAGCACCAGCCCGAATGTAAAGCAGTCGTGTGATCTCAAATCGTTGTAAGCTATGTTTGGACGACACTTCAACACAGCACACTGCCTCGCCTTTGAATTCTCCTCACAATAAGAACAGCCATGGAGGACGAATACACCCAAAGTATACAGGTTTGATGTTAATTTGATATCATATTATGCCTCTTCACTAACTGAGGTATCCCAGTTGTTCGTACAACCTTCGCTTCCTAAGCGTCAGGCGAAATAGCACGTCATAGTACATTCGAGATCAGCGGGAAGATGACGACGTCCACTAATTTAGTATCTGTGCACATGAATCTGTTGTGTGTGTTACTCTGTGTGTCAGCTATGGCATCATCGCCTGTGGTTCCATGCCTAGCCTGTACGTCTGAATCATCCTGCAAAGTTTGAATGACGTAGGTTGAGCGATCGCTCCACGAAACATACTTTTTGAAATTCTCTTCATAGTATATCTTCCACCACTGAAATTTCGAATTTCTTCGAATTTTTAGCTGAGAGGGGTGGCTTGCAACCTCGATATGGCTTGTTCCAGGCTTGCTTTGGAGCCATCGCCTGTTGAAACAGTGGCGGGAAGCTGCCCTGCAGCTGTTCCAACAGGAAATTAATCGATCCGAGAAAGCGTGAGTCCGCGAATCTCGGTTGAATATTGAGTATTTCAAGCCTTTTCACGACGAAGATGGAGTTCTTTTTGGAGATGGACGTCGCGGCAAAGGACATGGTGTCCGACTTCTGGCGTCTGGTGAAGCCAGGGATCATTTGTCCAGTCAGGTCGGCAGCCTAGCCGTCGGTAAGCTTGTGTTTGGATCCCGTTCTGCTCGATGTGGTAGATCACAAACAATTTGATATCGCACAAATTGATCTCAGCATCGTGCGTACGATATTTTATATTCAGAAAATCCCAAAGTGTCTCTGTGTGGTCGTCCTATGCCACGAGGAACTCCAATCAGGCTCCTGTGTCCTCTGCCTTCATGATTGAATGTCCACTTCGTTTGAACAACGAACACAACAATCGAGGACGGCTTTGCAATGAAAAATACAGCTATACTGGAGCTGAAAAAAAAGAAGAAAAAAACGTGCTCAGGATGAGACTCGAGTACACGCATACTCTCCCAGCAGGTGAAACGCAAATTTTTGTGAAAAATGCGTGTCGCCGACTGACCAGTAATTTCGCCTGACGAATGACTTGCCCAGGACAACTTGATAGTGACAACAACTGAGCTTGCTTACTGCAAGAGCTGCCATTGTTAGCATAGCGAAACTCCCCAATGACAGTTCATGTGATTATTTTACTGCTGTAATTTCCCAGCGTACCCAACATCAGCTCTTTCACTCTTTAATGTCCCTGAGCCCTGATCATAACAGTGATCAGATGTTTGCCTCGGTCGGGGGGAATAAGAAGGAGACAACCAGCTCCAGTGGCTGTCACCTTTCACCACTGCTGTCATTCGCACTTTTCGATGTGCCCCATGATGCATTCATTTATGCTTTGCACTGCCGCCATTCACAACTTTTCGATTTACGCTGTGATTCAGCTCCAGATTTACTCATTAACGTTTTCTGATGATCGCTTAGCGCGTGAAACTCAGAGTTAAAACGCTTTCTCTGTCCTTTTATTGTTTAAGTAAAAGTGGGGAGGCTTCCTGCAGTTTCATGAACAGTTAAGTTGTAGAGCCCACACGCTCTCATCCATTAACACTGCAATAGTTCAACTCATTTCACAATATTATTGTGAACCTGATGAAGGCAATTTGCCGAAACGTTGTAATAATTATTGTGAAATGAGTGGAACTATTGCAAGTGTTAATGGAAGAGAGCGTGTGGGCTCTACTACTTTTAGCTCTTATTGTTTGTTTCAGGTGTACGTACATGTGGACAAGTGTACACTTACGTGTGCAGGGAGGAATTTGTGTACTTGCATCATTACACACGGGTTGTGCATTAAGGTATTCATAACCAGGATCACATGTAACGCTACCGCTCTCTGAAATATTAGTTATTCCATCTCCATCTCCAGTCGTGGTGATACGTTGACAAGCTTCAAGCACAAATAGACAAGTGGAAACCAAATCAACAGATTGGGCAGAAAGAAAGAGGGTTTTATTCAAAATCTCGATGATGCTCATGAAGACGGAGACGTTCTAACGATACTTCTAATGGATTTGCGTGTAATGCAGTGCTCTCTTGAGTGTAGGCAAGTTGCCTGCAAACTATTTCAGGGTTGTATTGGTCACGAACCCGACCCTGGTTTCAACTACGATGCCTCTTGATTCACCACACATTCCATATGTAGCACTTTGCAATCGATAGTCATGTTCGGATTCAAAGCAAAGAATTTAGGAGCTAGTTATGCCCAAGCAGCCATCATGGCCACTCACGGAATCCATACGCCACGCAAACCTTTTGCCTAGTGAAACAAGCAGAAGAGAGATGGCTCTTAGTTCCTTTGATGCATGTAGTCAGGAGTAGATGAACAAGAGCGTGCAACTCCCCCCGGATCTCTTATTCACAATCTGCAGATACCCCGGCCCACTGCGGAATTTGTTTGTTGACGTCACCTTCTTTTTCAGAAAAACGCGCTTTTGCCGCAGAGCAGTGTGAGAGCACGTGCTGGGCACTGACCTTGCAAGGTAAAACCCGGTCAAGTGGACGAGGCAAAACTTTCCAAAAGACTGGCAGCGCTTGTGTCATGGAAAAGATGACGTCAACAAAAAGTTTCGCAGGGGGCGAACCCATCTTGGAATTGCACACTCTTGTTTATCTACTCTTGATGTAATCCAAGTGTTTTAGGCTAATTTTGTTTTTACCAGTCGAACTGTTTGTCTTCCAACATGGTTGACGTGCCACACTATAGTCAGAGTTTTCACTCAGAGGTTTAACACCTCGTTTTGGACATGGGACCCAGGCATCTGAAAATTAAAAGCCTTTGAACCCGAGTGTTTGCTTCAGAACTGTTCTAGTTTGTATCCAGTAGCCGAGACCGGTCATTCAGAGAATCCAAATAATAAAAAATCAGGTTTTGGTCCAAAACGAAGGGTGGTGAAATGGGTAGTTAAGAATGAAGAAGTAAAAACTGAAACAAATCACTGTGGATAGACATGTTACTGGCTATAATCCTATTTCCTCTGGTCCCGTTTTCACCTCGTACACTCGTAACTTGTCATCATGGCAAACAATCAAACAGGAATTTCGAGGATGTAGATACAGTGTATGCTAGCTTGCATGTGATGACAGCCTAGATTAATGTGTACCTGCTTAGCGAGCTGGCGGTAGCTGAAAGCCGGATCTAAACCAATTGCTCGTTTAACCCTTTCACTGCTGCAGGGTTGTGCACACAGGCTCTGGAAAAAATCCGAAAAATGGGGCCGATGGCCAACTCCACTACGTTATGGTTCAGGCAACTGGGTCGGTGAACTTTCGGGAAATGAAGGCCAAAGCTACCAACACCACACTGACAACTCGATAGGTTCCCCAAAACGAGGTACAAAGCTGTATAGGACACGTAAGTTTGCTGAATTTGCATAAAATACGGCAAAGCCGGCAATTGCAGTTGAAAAACCAGACGAAAAAAGGGAAAAAAGAGACATAGAACGTAACTAAGCGGGATCCGTACCCGCAACCTCTCGTACATGAGGCAGGAACTGTACCAACTGACCAGCAGTGACTACACACATGAGGAGATGACTAAAACCGGGTATTTAGACCATGACGTACATGTACGTCATCAGAGCCTGGACGTCATCTAGGATGACATACATGTACGTCATCCGCGGTGAAAGAGTTAAGTGTAAACCTCTCACACCTCTCAAGGGACATTATGTTACAGACCTGCGTGATTTCCTATCATACCCTGGGTTCTCATCATATTGTGTTACTTTGGTAAGTGTGCCTGCGGAGTAGGAAATAGGGACAACGTTGAGTTCCGTTGCACTTTAGAAAGCAGGAGCGAGTCAGGAAGAGTTACTATTTGATGTTGTTTTTTACATTAAAGGGGAAGTTAAGGCAAAAATTAAAATTTCACCAGTTGTAGTCTTCGGGGTGCTGAGTCGAATGGTCTTGGTCCGAGGAAGCTGAGACGCTCCCTTCCTACTTGAATCCCAATCGAACTCGCGCACTTCCACCGAAACTGGGTGACTGCGCCCTACTAGATGGGGATTTGTATGCAAAATGTCACTAAAAGCGCCATTTCGTTCTTATAAAAGCACGGGTGACCGCGATTGGCCCATATGTTGTAGTCTTTTGGACGCTGAGTCGACTGGTTTTGGTCCGAAAAGGCTGCGATGCAGCGTTCCTCCTTTATTCCCAATCGAACATGGTTGAACAAGTGGTCACGTGCTCCTGCGTACACCAGTCACCTGGTCACCGTGCCTGCAGGGTACAACTTACTAGCCTGTTTGACCTTTTTTGGATGCACTCCTGTCACTCGAGTTGAACCTTGGTGTGAAATTTGTCGCCTGCTGGCGCGGTGACCAGGTGATTTGGGCACCCAGGAGCACGTGACCGCTTGTTCAAGCATGTTCGATTGGGAATAAAGGAGGAACGCTGCATCGCAGCCTTTTCGGACCAAAACCAGTCGACTCAGCGTCCAAAAGACTACAACATATGGGCCAATCGCGGTCATCCGTGCTTTTATAAGAACGAAAGGGCGCTTTTAGTGACATTTTGCATACAAATCCCCATCTCGTAGGGCGCAGTCACCCAGTTTCGGTGGAAGTGCGCGAGTTCGATTGGGATTCAAGTAGGAAGGGAGCGTCTCAGCTTCCTCGGACCAAGACCATTCGACTCAGCACCCCGAAGACTACAACTGGTGAAATTTTATTTTTTGCCTTAACTTCCCCTTTAACTTGGTCAGTTATACAGTTAAACCTGTTGTAAGTGACCTCTGCTTTTGGCGACCACCTGCTTTTAATGACCGTTTTCCATGCACGGACAGTTCTACACAGAAACTGCATCGGACACAGCGATCACCTGTCTTGCACGACCAGCAACCGACTTTTAGTGTACCAAGTGCCATACGGAACCTGCACACAGCGACCAAAACTAACCAAAAATGCCATCTCGGCTGGCAGAGCTGACTGCAACAGGGTTGAAGTGCGCTCTGAAGCAAGTGCACGCAGTCGACTGAAGTGACATGTGACAATGCAGGATGCGCTGCATGTACTTGAGTGAGGTGTTCTCTGCCTGCATGAGAGTATTCTATGCTCCACACCTGTCAGTACGAATACATGGAAGTTCAGTCATGCACATTTATGTATAATCCGATGGGACCTGGCTCTTACTTGCAGCGTGGGGTGGTCTGGGTCTTGCTTGCAGCGTGGGGTGGTCTGGGTCTTGCTTGCAGCGTGGGGTGGTCTGGGTCTTGCTTGCAGCGTGGGGTGGTCTAGGTCTTGCTTGCAGGGTGGGGTGGTCTGGGTCTTGCTTGCAGCGTGGGGTGGTCGTTTACACCCGGTTTACTGTAGGTAGAAGAGCTGAGCAAAGGGTTAAAAACAGAGCAAAACCAATTGCTATTGGCACTGGGCTTCACTTACGTATTTCGCAAGCGACGTATATGGAGGCGTTCACGAAACGGGTGGAAACAGGGTGGGCTAGTGTTCCGGTTGCAAATGCAATCTCATCGGTTTTTCCAACTTCAAACTGGTTGATCCAGGCAAAGTGGGTATCACCGAGCAATGTTGATGTGCATCCCGACGTGTACGCTTTCGCACTTAGTAATATGCCATTGTGTACCCTGCATATGTCATGGCCATCTGTAAAGTTGAAAAGCCTGTGATCGTGTGTCCGTTGCAGGACTGCACCAACTTTAGGACAGTAGCTGTAGCCAGTCAGTGATGCACCTGGGTGGAAGCACATATAGAAACAGATATAAGGTTGTTAGTGTTCTCAAATGCTTAGCATCTCTAAAGTTCATCTTGCAACACGTGAGTACTTGAGCTGCTGTTTTGAGAAACCCTACCGCTATGCCGACAGTGTTAAAATATCAACTATACATCATCCCAGCACGTAAAGACAGTAACAGTCCATTTCAAAGCTGTAGACGCGTACCTAGACAAAATCGTTATGGCAGCATGTATACCACATAAAATCTGTGATCACTTTGTGCATAATTTTTTCCAAATTGGGCGTCTGTTATCCAATCGTTTAGAAACTAAATGAGAGTAATTGTGGAGCTGACCTGAGCAATATTTCGAAAACTATTCTAAAAAGGTTCCAGCCAAATTTGACAGATTTCAACAACACTGTGCGTCTAAAAATGGCCTCTGCTGGGATGACGACTACACCATAGTTCAGCGGTTAGAGCATCGCTGGCTACAAGCGAGGGTCCCTGGTTCGAGTCCTGGTGGTGACAGTCAATATTTTCTTCAGACTTTTCCCGTTTGTCTCTTTCCCTCAAAGTTAATATTCTAAAAATCTTCCAGCCAAATTTGAAATATTTCAAAAACCCTACACGTCTATAGTTTTGAAATAGACTGTAGGCAAAAACCGTTATGCCAGCATCTATACCACATCAAATCTGTGATCACTTTGTGCATAATTTTTTCAAATTGGGCGTTTGTTATCCAATCGTTTAGAAATTATATGAGAGTAATTGTGCAGTGGACCTGAGCAATATTCCGAAAACTATTCTAAAAAGGTTTCAGCCAAAGTTGAAATATTTCAAAAACCCTACGCGTCTATAGTTTTGAAATAGACTGTAGGCAAAAACCGTTATGCCAGCATATATACCACATCAAATCTGTGATCACTTTGTGCATAATTTTTTCCAAATTGGGCGTTTGTTATCCAATCGTTTAGAAATGATATAAGAGTAATTGTGGAGTGGACCTGAGCAATATTCCGAAAACTATTCTAAAAACGTTCTAGGCAAATTTGACATATTTCAAAAACACTGTACGTCTGTAGTTTTGAAATGGACTGTACATGCGAGGCCATACAAAGACCAAACTATATTATCGCATGCTTATAGTGGCAAAAATAATGGCAGGTGAATGACCTACTTCCTCCGCGTCATCGAAATTGTCGCAGTTTGACTTTTGACATAAAACGGGGTATTTACTCACCAGCACTCGTGATGCAGGCAAGAAATCGGACATAGGCGATAGTCATCAGTATAGGGTGACGGCAAAGTTCTATTTTCTGTTATTGGAAGCTGAAATTTTTGAACTAGACCCAATTTCTTCGCTGATGTCGCTGCGATGGTAATTTCGACTCGCTGAGATCAGCCAGGCGTTGCCGCCTGCACATTTCTTGTGCTTATGGCCATTCACTCAAGCCTCATCACTGGTTTACCTTAGCTGGGGTGAGAATGACTTCGTGGAACAAGTGGCAGTGCTTGGAGAAACATCGAGGGGTCAGCAAACTAAATGCATGCAACAGCAATAAAATGTGTCGCTCTGGCTGAGACACTCAGTACATGATTGTACCTGCAAGAGCCGTGTCGACTCTACGCGTTGTGCTAGTGATGCACGCGCAGGTGCCGTACCAGTGATGCTGAAAAAGAGGTCGTGCTGGACGTGATAGTACACTTACCTCCACGAGCTGTGACCACACAGCTAAAATAAATGGGCATGCCACGGCTAAAAAAAGTTCATTTCAAGATCGAGGTGATTCCGCCGACGGTAATCAACCGACCTCGCAACGATCATGTATTTTTACTAGGCTTCGTTGGTGGTGAAGTAGAAATCATCTAGAGCTAGCAGACAACAAGCATAGCAGCCCTTGTCCTGTGGAGAAAGTCAAAGCGTTTGAGATGAGGCGCGACCAAATTTCAACCTTCCTTGAAATATTTCGGAACGATATTTTTTCGTCCATTGACATCAGCGACGACGAGGACTTCATCTCTGCGTGAAAAATCTCAGTCCAACTGTCCTGGAACGTTACTCTAGTCTACAGACTATCATACTGTGTTATAATTTTTGAATAGTTTTAGCTTATGGAGTTGTCAGTAACAAGTGACAAGTCACCAGTCAAACTGCGACAATTTCGATGACGCGGAGGAAGTAGAAAGTTGACAATAATTTGTGCGAGATCTCGATCGGCTTTAAATATTGCAGTGGATAAAACAGAAGGAGGGCAATTTCAAACGGCAATTATCTTTTTGCCCATAGGTAATGCAGCTTAGATCTTCCCGTACGGTTGTTTCGGTTTACTCGGATGTGGTAGTGTGCAGTTGCCATTCCCTTGAACTGCAATGCTACCCAGGACTCGCACGAGAACTCGAAGTGGGCAGACTGCCGTAATTTTAATAATAACATGTCTTCTATCTTTGCATTTGGCGAGACATAGGTGAGGAGACAGGCAGATTATCCCACAATCTTCCTCTTTAGATCATAATCATGTTGTCAGAATATGCAGCCAAGCGTGCCAAGACTAATGAAATAGGGACGTCGTGTATGTACAAACCCTTGACTTTAAACTCCATATTTCGATGTCACGCCTCCAAATTATCAAAAAAAAACATTCTTACTATCGAAATGAAGCTGGCACAGGGCTCTCTTCCACTTGGGGTACTCGCATAATATTGCTATCAAGAACATTTAAAAGCTTTATGGATTTCCTTGAAATACCGTAAAAGCCCATGTATACGCCCACTCGAAATTACGCCCACCCTCCGTGTACACTCGCAGTCAGGGGAAGTCAACACTTTTGTTTTCAAAATAGTGCCCATGCCCATGGTTACGCTCAGGTATGCAGGCAACACTGATACCCAATACGTACTGCTTTCTCTATTTCAAGTATACGCCCGGTTCCAAAATAGCGCCGTGCCCTTGTATATGCCCAGGAAATCAAGGCTGCTATTCTATACACCCGGGGCCTATACACGGGATTTTGCGGTATGACAAGCATATTCCTGTATTGATGACTAATTGTCGCCAAGTTTCATGGTTCTACTTCCGATGTCTCTGAACTCTGGTTTTTCCGCCAAAGCACCGAATAGGGAAAACCATGAAATGTCAGGCCGTTTGCCTCCGCTTGCAACAGTGTATTGTGCGTTTAGAACCCCAGTTGAGGAAGTTACCTTTTTGGAACCTTTTTCAAATTTCAAATTTCGCAGCACTGTGCTGTGTAGAATAAAATCACTTAACATTGCCATTCAGAAGAGCTCGCTAGGTGTGTGTCTGTGTGTTTGTGTGATTACAGGGTATGTTTTTTGACATCGCAGAAATTCAGTTGGATAAATACAGACTCACTGCATGGGTGATACACGAAACTGCACAATAAAAAGAAATATAAAAAAAAGTTAATTATCGTGTCCGTTCCCAAAGGGAATTCACGACGGCCGCTAACACCCGCTAACTGCACAATGCAAGGTGCTAACCTGGCAAGACTATTCCATCGCACGAAATGATCAGTGTTGCCACAAAGCAGAGTGCCAGTAAGCCTCTCATCTGAAAACACAGGAAGAGGTTAAGTTGACAAGAAAGCATACACCCGAAGTTAAGTCATGGGGGAAATACAGGCAAAGACGTGACAATAATGTCAGCAAACAATGGATCACTCGTATCGTTTTGCTACTCTAAGTTTCATGCACTATGTGCAATCATCGTCCACGGTAAAAACATGACAATATTTCAGGCATGACCACACAAAACCTGTTTCATCTACTTCAAATGAACAAAAAAAACGTACGTTGTGACTCGGAAGTTTAGCCAATAGTTTTTTTTCACTAAAGAGAATAGACCAATAAGTTTGGAGCTATGACTAAAAGTCCAAGTAGGCACAAGTCAGATGGGGAGACAACAATGCACGAAACTGACAAGGAAATTGAAACATTCAACGACCTGATACCTAGCTCCAAAAATCTACAAAACCCAAGCCAACCACCTTCCGACTTGGAAGGCTCACGTGGGGAAAGTTCCAATAAGGAGAATTCTAAGCGTGAAGGTTGTTGGTTTGTATTTCGCTGATTTGTTGGAGCTAGGTTTCAGATCGTTGCATGTCTCAATATCCATGTCAGTTTTGCCCATTGTTGATACACTATCTAACTGTCTCGTCATAACTCGTAACTCCTCGGTTCTTTCCATTTACTAAGAAATAATATAGCATGGCTTTCAAACCTGTTAACGTTTGTCCAGTGAGACATTGTCAATGGACATTTACTTTTTTATTTTTTTACTAGAGCCATGTAAACCCGTCATGTGTGAGCAATGAATACGAGGAGTGGTGGCGTGGTCTGGGATGCTCTGCCGACCTTGGGTCTCGGCTTCATCACAACCAGGCGCGCCAATAGCAGAGAAAGAGAGAGAGGGAGAGACAGAGAGAGAGAGAGAGAGAGAGAGAGAGAGAGAGAGAGAGAGAGAGAGAGAGAGAGAGAGAGACAGAGACATCGTCAGATAGTCAATATCATTCACCGAAGGCTCCTTTTATCACGTGGTGTATTTCCTTGATAGAACATTCGCCAAATATGAACGTTTTACGACAGGTCAGTTCCTGGGATAAGGCAAAGTCTAGAATCCAACATTATTTCCAGACCAATCCAAACCTCAATGGGGCACGGTAACGGAGGGCCAGGGCTTCGCATTACAAAAACCACGACACTACATGAATGTCTGCATGCCAACCGAAGTTATTGTCATTCATCAAATAATCGAATCGACAATGGAGAGTCAACTAACTAACTAACTTGTAGCTCTCTTACCATCTTAGTTATAGGAACAAGTCAAACCTAGAAGGTGCTGACAAGTTTTTCACTCCAAATGCATACTGGCCAACCCTCCCGGTTTCCCCGGGGAAATCCTGGGAAATCAACACTACTCCCGGGGTCCCGGGGATTTTCACCAAACTCCAGGGGTCCCGGGGATATCAACCAAACTCCAGGAAGTCACAGTTTTTTTCTGATACAGGATTTTCCTGAAAACTACATGGATTTGCCCCGAATGTCCCGGTTTTTTCCAAAATATGTAAGGTGCCCATTCGCACTTCGAAATGTGCACGGCAGTTTCAATACCTGGCTAGCTTAGAGCTAGATAACGTGCAAGATCTGCACTGACAAAGTGACAGGCGGGCGCCGACTGATCCAACTGCACTGCAGAGTCGAACTGTGCTGTACGCAGATTTGCAGAGTCGAACGTTTTTTTGGCGGGAAATGCTGATTTTTGTGCCGTCCAGTGATTTTGAGAGAAATCTAGGAGTTCTGCATGACTGGTCAAGGGATTGAGGTTTTGGTGGTTGGTCAGTATACAAGTGCAGCTCACAACACGTGCTACACATGGTCATGGCACTGATCCTTTGAATTGGAAGTTTTCCAATATTCTGCGCATACATAAATGTTTCGGCTTATGCCATATCAGCCAAAGCGTTGGAACAATACATTTTATTATGGTTGTATAGTGCACAGTAAGTAAAAAAGTAAATGATCATGTCCGTTCCTGAAGGGAACTCACGACGGCTGCTAACACCCGGTAAACCCTTGCGGCAGATGCAGAGCCTAACGATGGGGGTGAGTGGATAAGTCTCCAACCCACTGGCATAGGTGCTGAGAAAGACCTCATTAGCCGTATCCATGTACCCCTTGTGCCTGGCCACAAGTTCCCAGTTGACGGTGGGTAGCAGCACGGCTGGAAAACCGCTCCAAGGCATGACTTGAACCAGGCATCTCTTGCATCGCAATCATGAAGCAACCGAGTGTGCCTGCCTGGTCGGCCTGGTAGTGCGCGGAAGGGCTTACTTAAGAGTAAAGGTAGAGGCGGTGACATTTCGAAGAAATCTGTGCCCGTGAAATATAAAAAGAAGAGTGAAAATTGATCAAAAGGATTTTCCAGGTTGACTCGCTTTCAGAATCCGCCTGTTTCTAACTACTGTCCAACATTTTATGTCAACTCGGTTTGTCAAATCTGGACTAGTGTGTAAAAACTAGGGGCATGTTCGTTTGGTAGGATCGGGATCCCGATCCACCAGATCCACAGGATTCGCACCCTTTCGATTGATCGAATCCGGATCCGGATCCTTCGGATTTGGATCCGATCAACCCACCTCGGGGAGAAGGGTTGATGGGATGCAAATGTGACCTTTGTCCGTATATGGCAGGTAAAAATCATTTTTCCTCACATTGTGGTATGCACACGTGGATGCAGATAGAGCGTGTTGACTTTTCGTAAGACACACGCGATGAGTACGACGTTCACCCTTTTGGGTGACTTTTGAGCGTCAATATGGCACCCCCAAAATAAAGTGTTCAGTTGAAATCTGAAGGATCCGATGGATCTGAGATCTGGATCCCGATCCTACCAATCGAACATGCCCTTGGGTAACCTTTTGAAATTTTCATTGTTCTTTTGATTTCAGGCTATTTTTCCGAATCCTACACATATTATTATAATAGTCCTAATAAATGTAGAAAGGAAAAGGACATATGGAGACGAGTTTAGAGTAACTCTCCATCACTGTAACTGGATACTATACAGTCAGAAAGTAGTCCTAATAGCTGAAGACTATGTTGACTTGCATCACTATCCGACTCCACAACATCCAGCAAAGCAAACACCATAATCTTCTTGCGGCACTTTCTCATCCCTTGTTCATCACAAAACTCTGCTCAACAATTCAATTCTTGACACAACAAATGCTGGCCCTGATATGACACCCACCCACTGAAACATACCGTTGGAATTTGCTAGTGCGGCTCGCTGCCCAGGCTGCTCGCTCTGAGGGCTGAAAATAACCTGGCAAGACACCAAACCTCTCCTGTTCAGCACCCGGAGGAATTCACGGTGATGACAAACTCAAGAAGAAGAACTTGACAGACAGGAGCCTGATCGGATAGACTACTCTACGCTCATGGTCTATCTTTCCACTCCTTCCTCTCCTCTCCTTGCTATCTGTACTGTAGTCTTGGTACTACTGATCAAGAGTACTTACTCTTGCCTTGGTGCTATCCAACATCAAGTAGGTTACTGGGAAAAACTGGGGAAAATAGTAGCTTACTGTTGTTGCAGTTGAAACTGATTCAAATGACCGACTTGAAAATTCGAAAGATCTGGATCTGGATACTGATCCAATTCGGAAAATTCGCCAGGCAACGTCTTTCCAACCGCGCTTCAAGTAGTGTATAGCATGACCTTTCCGTCACTTTTGGCGGAAAAGCAGCACCTGAAACAGTACACCATTGTGTACCATGTCCAATGTGGGGTCAAGAGTCCACGCTCTACTGCCACAAGTCTTCAGCGCTTTGCGCTGGTGGCTCTCGCGTGCGCGCGCTTCTGGTTGCCATGGTGCGAGAAATCCGGCCCACCTAGACCACGACAACGCACGGCCAGTTTTCCGTTTTCAGTCCCGCATTTCTTTTTTCGTTTTCGTACGTTTACACGATCAAAGCCGATCCGATTTTGGTTGGTTCCAGAAAAATTCTGGAACCAACCAAAACATCTGTACAAACCTACAACTTTCACCTACAGTTCCTAGTTCAACCCTATGGTTCATTTACTTTTGTACAGCTTTACAACTTTTCACCTAGCTATTTCCTAAGGTTCACGCTACCCATGTGTATTAGCCACATTTGCGCCAAGACAATTATTTTCAAGTACTGCATTGCTACACGCTCAGCTACTGGTGCATAGCGCAACCTGACTAGCAACCTTCTCCACTTTACACTACAAGTATGCCAATTCATGCCTACCGTGTACATAAGCTAGTGTTTTCTACCTCATTCTTCATCCTCTGATGAAGCATTCTAATTGCAGAAACCGGTCAGGTATCCATTAAAATGTAAATGTATGAATTATAACTAAAATTACTGTGCTCTTGTTGTGTCGGGAGTTCAATGCATCTTCCCCACACAGCACTCGTGAAGGCTTGTACAGAGTGAGGGGCTTCTCCCCAGTGATGCAGGCTACCTTGAAGCATGATGAGCTACGTGAAAAATACCGCGCGGTGTGTTGAAGCGAGGAATGGAGCATGCCATTCAGCTTGCACTGGTGATTGTTTTACTGAACGATGATGAACTGCACGTGGCATTTGATAGGGCTTGTGCAGGGTGAGTGTCTTCTCTCCAGTGATGCAGGCCACCTTGAAGCGTGAATCCACTGCATCTCTCTCTCTCTCTCTCTCCAAATTCTTTGGTAATGCAGCCTTTCACTAACATTGTCCGGTTGCACGCCTACTGTCACTCAAACAGGACCAATGATGCAACATGTGCCTAGCAGATACACTGTTGATCATAAACAACTCCAATAACACCCCCCCTTACCATTATCTTCAATACACATCCAACTAGAACTTGAAGTATATCAGTCGAAGCTGCTTGTATAGTCTCTACTTCTTGATACTACCCACTCTCTTTTTCTGTCTGTCTTTCTCTTTCTGTGTATGTATGTGTGTGGGTGTGTGCGTCTCTCTCTCTCTCTCTCTCACTCTCTCTCTCTCTCTCTCACGCACACACACACACACACACACACACACACACACACACACACACACACACACACTCCCTCACTCACTCACTCACAAAGCATGGATCCACTGCACTTTGTCGTTGAACATCTCAACACGCATGTTGACGTACACTCTCTCTCTCTCTTCTCTCTCTCTTTTTCTCTCTCTCTCTCTCTCTCTCTCTCTCTCTCTCTCTCTCTCTCTCTCTCTCTCTCTCTCTCTCTCTCTCTCTCTCTCTCTCTCTCTCTCTCTCTCTCTGTGTGTGTGTCTCTCTCTCTCACACACACACACACACACACTCACTCACAAAGCATGGATCCACTGCACTTTGCCGTTGAACATCTCAACACGCATGTTGACGTACACTTTCTCTCTCTCTCTCTCTTCTCTCTCTCTGTCTCTCTCTGTCTCTGTGCGTGTGTGTGTGTCTCTCTCTCTCTCTCTGTCTCTCTCTCTCTCTCTCTCTCTCTCTCTCTCACACACACACACACGCACACTCACTCACTCACAAAGCATGCATGGATCCACTGCACTTTGTCGTTGAACATCTCAACACGCATGTTGACATACACTGTATCTCTCTGCGTCTTTTGATTTCTGTGTCGCTCTTTCTCTTTTTCTCTCAACCTGTGGATCTACAATGTACTTTGCTGTAATAAATTCTTTTGAAGTTCTGTCCTTATTTGATTGGATTATTGATCGCGTATTGATGAAGCTCGGCACGAAGTATTGGCTTGCTTTCTCACATACTTACCCTCTTTTCCTGTCTGTCTCTCCATCTCTCTTTCTGTGTGTGTGTGTGTGTCTCTCTCACTCTCTGTTGACGTACACTGTATCTCTCTTTGTCTATCTCTGTGTCTCTCTTTGTCTGTCAGTTTCTATCTCTCTCTCTCTCTCTCTCTCTCTCTCTCTCTCTCTCTCTCTCTCTCTCTCTCTCTAACACACAGGCACAAGCTCTTTCTCTCTTTCAGTTTCTCTTCTTTTGTTGCTTTCTCATGAACACTAGCACACACACACTCTCTCAACATTGATCACTTATTCCCATCATGCATTTTTGGGTTTCGTTGTGATAGAATATTGTACTACTAGTACTACTGATGTACAACACTATTCTCATGCAACTGGAGGGTATATATTCGGGTGCTATTTGTTGTTGTGGCTAAGAGTGCATGTGTGCGGCCAGCTAGTTCCAGCATTCAAGGTGTTACATTTGCTACACTGTGGTCTTACAAGCACAGAGAACCATATGTTCTAACTTTCCTTGATACAACTATGAACCGAAGCACAACTGCTGCAAACATTAACTGCCCATTTAGGCAAGATAGCAACAACTCAAAGTAGAAGAAGTAAGTAAGACTAGCGTCCTTCCAGCTCCAGGACAGTATGAACAGGCAACAACATAAATTTTAACAGCATTGCATCGTACATGCATGTAGCCATGCAGAAATAATTGTACATTTAGTTGTGAATGCAAATCCACGGCGGAAAGCAGTCAGGCGTAATAAATGCAAGCAATAGAAACCAGATCTGTGACGCATGTCACATGCATTCATGATGATCAATGCATCGTGGTTCACCACCATTGAACACAGTAGTACATGTAAATTACACAGAAATAGGATATTAAATCTAACATATCTCCCTCGTGAAAGAAAAGTGATAAATATCACATGAGTGAGTAAAAGACGAAGACAACAAGAAGAAAAACATGACAAAAACAATGGCAATTAAATATGAAGACTTGAATTTGAAAACTCGGATGGAAGAAAAGGACCAAGGACCTACAAGACGTGCTAGAGCTCATAGCCAGTTTGTTGTAGAACGTCAGTACTGTCGGTCAGTTTGGTGCAATGTTATAATTATTGAAAAGAATTCGGGTGGACACACCCATTCCCATAGCGCTGCATATCACATCCGAACCAGTTCCGTTATTTTACAACGTTTCGGCACTTGGCCATCATCAGGTAATAACAATGAATACCGTGGAAGCCACACAAGAGCAGTATATACGCAGAGTGTAGCGCCAAAAAAGATGCGAATTATGTCACCTAGTATGACAGAGAGAGAGAAAAAGGCGCAACTAGCACATCACGGAGGAGAAGCAGCAAAAGGTAGCGCGCATTGTGCTCTGTTATAATTATTGTTATTGCATGAGCTGATTGTCAAGTAACTGGTGGTGTTAGTGAACAGTATAGCATAACGTGTAGTTCTTTGGTCTTTTTTTCTTTACTATGAATATGAAAACAATCACAGTTCGCTCAGTACTTGCACCTTTAACTTCCAGTGGCTCAAGATGATGAACTGCATGCTTGTGTACCTTCCCAGCTACTTAAACTTCTACTATCCGAACAGCACCATCCTTACCTGGATAGGTCATAAGCACACGTCCAAGTGGCTAGTGTGCAGTTGCGGTGTGCTTATCCATCACAAGCACGATATCTCCTGAGGGTGATGCTGTTGAAGCAGCCACATCCCTTGGATACTTAGCTTCGGAACAATCTCTTTCAGCTAACGTTTCCATACCTGATCTACAATACGTTGCACAAACTCCCGGCGCTTTCTTGGGTGAGCTTGAGTCATTGTAGATGTGTTCGCTTCAGCAGCAATAGTTGCCCTAGCATGGCCAATGAGAAAGTGTTGTGGCAATAGCAGCTGAAGGTCTTCATGCAGCACTAGTTTCATTGCCTTGGCCATTACCTAGAACACACCACCAAAGTGTGGTGCACTTGGTGGCTTGAAGTACCAGGTCGCGGTATGACCTTTCTGCTGCTAGTCTGAAGTTGTCGAGAAACTCGACAGCTGCTTTTACCTCTTGATCAGCCACACGGAAATTGGTACCGTTGTCCGATTGCATCTCTCGTGGTACACCACGTCGCATGGTGAATCGGGGTCTAAGAGCAAGGACAAAACCGTCGTTGTCCTCGAAATGACAAGCCCTAGTCAGCAGGCATGTAAACACACATACATATCTCTTTGAGTTGTGACCGATCTCGACCCTGGCGTGCATAGAAGGGGATGACATAGCCGACACTAATTATGGCGAATGACTGATGTGGTCCAGTTGTCTTGAAGTCGGGAGTTGGTGGCATTGCTGGTGTTGCTGTTTTGATATGGCCCTTGCGGCAAAGAACGCACTTGGCCCGATGCCTCCAGGTGGCCTGCATCACTGGAGAGAAGCCACTCACCCGGCACAAGCCTCCACGAGTGCTGTGTGCTCCTCATCGTGAAGTGATACCTTTCCCAGTGAACGTCAACAGGCGTGTTGATGTGTTCGACGACAACTTTTTTGAAGTGCAGTGGATCCATGCGTTGAGGGGGCTGGATCACTTGAGTGAAGCCAATAATCATCTTGCGAGAGCAGTAGCGAGTGCGTGTGCAGTTCAGCTCGTTCTCTGCCATGATCAAGTTGCTACAGACCTTGCAAGCTGATTTCATACACCACTGCCACAGGCTATGTCTGTCAGCTAGCTACAGCAACAATATCCTCTTCATGAATGTTCAAAACTATTTTCTTGGGTCAAAATCAGCTCTCCACTGTCTACAACACAGCATGATCGCATGTGCATGGACAGGATCCGACTGCGATGCAGCTCTCCTGGAAGGAAGCAAAGTTCTCCTGTCGCCAATGCCATCGCTTGTCAGTGTCACTCAAGAAAAAATAAATTTCAAATTCAGAAGCTACGAATTCAACGCATTCCAGTCTGCTTCCACCAAGACTACTTACTACAGGCCATCTGATTTGACAAGGTATATCAGTAGGACTTGGAAAAGTCACAGTAACATTTCGATCACTAGCCATTACAACAAGTATCAGAACATCAAAACAAACCTCGTGTAGATCCACAATTTCAGATTCAACCCATCGATCTACAAAATAGGTTCCCTTTCCCGCCAGCTGGATATGCATGCATGCATGCTCTCACCAGGCCAGGCCGGGAGTCGTCAAACGCCCGTACTTGACGACTCCCTGGCTCTCACTTGTCAGCCAGCTCCCACGTCTTGTCGTGCACGCGCAGACGTCCAGCACACACGCGTGTCGAAATGTGTTTTTTCAAGACTGTGTTCGAAACTTCATAGCAGTTTCTCCAACTGCAAGAATCGTGCAATATTGTAGGGAGAGTCGGCTACAGCTTGACTGACGGATGAAGACGACTGAAGAGCTATAGAGTGGCGGCTTTGTGCTCTTCCTGGGCAGTCGAAAAGGCATATACATATATACATGATGAATTGCTGCTATTATTATGTGAACTCTCATTACTGCGGTATTAACGTCCACATAGTCATTAGTCTAGCATGGCGTCATAATATATTTGTCTCAATTCAGTGTTTTCCGAAGAATAAAAAAATGTGTTTTTTGTCGGGTAGTCGGCAAAAAATTAAGTGAGGGTCCCTTTAGTCCTTCGCGTTTCAAGCAGGGAGTAGTACAATACGGGGAGATCTGAGATGACACGGGCACACGTCCGGGGTTACGAGCTGTGCCTCACAAATAAACACAAACCGCGCGAAAATTCAAATTGGACAAGCCCAACTTTTTTTGCAGTTTTCTGTCATAAAAAAACGTCACAGGCTGCTCTTCGCAGGTGTCCGCGTCGGAGCGGTCCGGGCAAGCGACCGCATCTCAGTGGGACACTGGTCCGTGGCCGTTGTACTGTAAAACGACAAACTTTCGCGAGCGATTAACTTTCGCGACTTTCGCGAGCAGGGTCGAATCGCGGAAGTTTGACACGCGAATATGAAATTTGTACTATTACGTACTACGCGATGCGTCGATGATCGATCGTTTTGCAACAGATCTGTTAGATATTCGGACGGGTTTTGGCTGAAAATCCGGTTTTAAATGGTTTTCAGTGGATTTTGATTTTAAAACGAAAGTTTTAGCCAGGAAAGCTCATCACGTGCATGGTGTCCGCCAGAGTTCGAATGCAGAGGTCATTATCTATCATCATGTCAGTGCTTGTCATGATAAATAAATACAGTATACTAGTAGTCAATCAGTAAAATCCAAAGAAACCGCTAGAAGCAGTATGCGTAGTAGTCTACGGCCAAGATACCAGAAACCGTATCAAACTCAGCACGGGGTTCGAGGTACTAAAACGATTACCAAATTAAGTCAAGGATTGACCATTACATGCTGCATTCTGCCACTGCTAACGTGATCGAAGGGCAGCCGTTGATTCTTGACGCTTTGTGCCGATGACCTCTCAGGGCTGTGACTGCGGCATTGACCAGTGCAAAAGACAGTTGAGTGCGGATGTATGCCATGACGATAGAGAAAGGCTCGGACCTCTTATCGGCCAACATGGATGCAATCCGAGCGTAGAGATTGCCAGCTGCCTTGCCATGACCACCTGTAGTGCTGAGCACGACCGGGATGAATGATCCATGCTCTACCTCAACGACTCTTCTTTCATAACTTCTTCTCTTTTCCTTTTCGTGCTTGCGGTACACTGCAACAGATCTGTACAGTACATGCGCATGCATCACTCACTGCACTGACTGTACATTCACAGCGCTGATCGATGCTTGCACGGCCGGCTATGTCCAACCAAAGCGCGCAGCTGTTGCAACGACGGGTTACGTGCCAACACCAGTCTTGCAAGGCTTTAAGCCTAGTTCACATTCGACGCAACGCCGACGGGACGGGACGTAAGGGCTTGTCGGAAGGGCTGGGGTGAGCTGTAAAATCCTGTACGATTCGTACGACACGACATGCAGCAGTCGTTGCGACGTTGAACGTCGAACGGCGCGAGTCATAAGGCACGGTCTGTAACAGTCCAACTAACCTCAAGAGTCATTCTTGGAATAAGCAATGATCCTTGCCATAATGCATTCTTATATACATGAACAAGCAATGATGGACATAACACCTAACAGCAGCAGCGTGATAATAGCAGGTGATAAGTGTATCCTATTCCTAGTGTTAGTAGTAACAGTGAATCTGTTACACCATTCCCCCCTCTTAACTGTCAGAACAGTACCAATTCGAAGGAACAGTTATGGTAACTAATGATCATGCATGGATATGTGGAATGCATGGTAGCCGAAAACAACACTGATGAACTCAAGATCCAGTGCATGTCCTCTGCAAATAACGCCTGGCTGGCAGGGAAGAACAATCATAATCATGCAGAATGCTACATTTCTATTGCAACACGTAGAAACTAGCAATACAACTGTGGCTGCCAATTAAATAGCAATTTTATGAAAAACGGTCCAGGTAGGTTTTCAGCGGAATAATAGCGTTTCCTGCTTCATCCATCAAGTATTCCTCCGGCTCCCAGGTGGCATCTCGGTAGCCCTTCCATTTCACTAGGTACTGCGTGCGCCGTCCTCTCTTCTTGTGCGACAACACCTTTTCGACAATGTACCGCGTATGGCCATCCGCATCGGTTAGGGGTGGAGGTGCCGGCTGAGTACGGCCCGGTATCTCATTGCCATGGTACAGCTTGAGGGCAGCAATATTGAACACTGGATGGGCCCGAATGATTCTTGGAAGAGCTAATCTGTACGCATTCGGGGCCACTTTCTTCTGCACCTTGAACGGCCCATACCACTTGAGCCTTAATTTGTGTGAAGGCCTGTCTCGTTCCTCGGGCGTCAGCAGGAAGTCCCTGAAGACCAACACCTGAAATCCATGCTGATGTCTGTCCAGGGCTGTTCGGGGACTGGAAGGGACTGCAACAGTCCTGCCTTGGTCTGGCTACCCTTTACGCGTTGGCACCGGTCGCAAGATTTAACGAAGTCCTTCACAGTCCTTCTCATGCCTGGCCAATAGAAGTATCTGCTCAGCTTCAGGTAGGTCCTGTCTCCCCCCGGATGGCCGGCCGTCAGGCAATCATGATTCTGTTTGAGCAGTTGCAGCCGTACCGGACCGCGAGGAATGCAGAGGCGAGCATCGCCCGATGTTACTAGGTACAGCCACCGGTCCACACTGTTCCAGACGTATCGCTCATGCATGGCGTCTTCGCTGCAAGCCATCAAGCGCTTGATAACTGGCGAAAGCTCTGGGTCACTATCATACCCTGCTGAGATCTGATTCGCAATTCCTTGATTCACATCCAGAGAGAACTCGATTCCATTCAGTTCCAAGTCTGGTCGACGTGACAACGGGTCTGCTATGATAATGTTACACTTCCCTGGCTTGTGATGTACCGTGTAGTCATAGTCGGCCAGGAATTCAATCCATCGAGCCTCTCTCTTGGTTAAGTTTGGTTTGGTCCTGAGGTAGACAACTCCCATGTTGTCGGTGTAGAGTTGAAAGTGGCGAGATAGGTAGACTCGCCAGCACTGCAGGGCGTACACTACAGCCAAAGTTTCTCGCTCGGCGGCCGTGTAATTCCGTTCGGCAGAAGACAGCTTTCGGCTCACGTAAGCCACAGGATGCCAGGACTGGTCCTCTGCTTGCTGCGTTAAGACTCCTGCCACAGCAAAGTCACTTGCGTCAGTCTCAACGCGGAAATCCTGACTGACGTTTTCTAGTCGCAACACTGGTGCATCCAGCAGAGCAGACTTCAATCGCTCAAATGCCTCCTGTCGAGTCTGGTTCCACTCGAAGCGCACATACTTCCCTGTCAGTTCCTCCAGGGGTTTGGAGATGGCCGAGAAATGGTTAATGAACCTTCGAAAGTAATTAGCGAGTCCCAGAAACTGTCTTACGTGCGTGACCGTCGTCGGGACAGGCCAGTTATGCACGGCCTTGATCTTCTCTGGATCTGGAGAAATGCATTGGCCGTCTATCCGGTGCCCAAGAAACAGAACGTCTGTCCGGCCGAATTCACATTTAGACGGTTTGCAATATAGCTCATTCCTCCTGAGGGCGTTTAAGATGATTCTGACATGATCGAGGTGCTCCTCCCATGATTTGCTGAATATGAGGATATCGTCTAGAAACACCACAACGAATTTACGCAGGTATGGCTGGAGGACACTGTTCATCAAGGTTTGGAATGTTGCCGGGGCATTTGTTAGGCCGAAACCCATCACTGTGAACTGAAAGTGACCGAATGGGGTATTTATTGCTGTCTTCGGAATATCTGTTTCTTCTATTCGAATCTGATTGTAACCGGACCTCAGATCTAGCTTGGTGAAATACGCACTGCCTTGGACGGTATCAAAGAGGTCGTCAATATTCGGTAGGCATGCCTTGTTCTCAATGGTTATGCGGTTTAGCTCACGCCAGTCGCATACCATTCGAAGTGTTCCATCCGCCTTCTTTACGAAGAACACAGGGGCTCCGTATGGGGATTTGCTGGGCTGGATGAATCCTCTACGGA